TGTAAGCAATTTTAATCGAAACTACAGTAAATAAAATACGATAGATTTTCCTACTTAGGTTAATATTAAAAAATTAGTTCTTACAATGAACTTAAAAGAAAGATTAAATCTCAGTGTCTCGAGCTTAATCTCACTCTAAACATTATTTCATATATTTGAAACAGCTAAATAGCAATTAGATTAATTTTGATAATGTTTTTCTTGTCGTAGTTTAATATTGTACATTTTTTAAACTTTATACTTTATTTTATGTTCCTCTTTGTTGAAAAACTTATGGTAAGCCAATTTAGTTATCAAAAATTTCATAACAAAAAACAATTATCGTTTCAAAACTTATTGAAAGTATTATGCACCAAAGTAGCCGTACCACATTAAAATTACTAATAGTGCAATTCACGACAAGCTTATTTAATAACCGAAAAATTCATCGTATTTAAATTTGTCAAAAAGGATTTTATATCATAGTTGTACCACATTAAATTACAATTATTAATAGTACCTTTCACGGCAATCTGATTTAGTCCCTAAATGTTTCACATCGAAGTCAAACTTGTCAAAAATATTGTGTATCACGTTAGTACCACATATCTTTAATTAAAATCATTGCCAGCACACTTTACGTCAAGCGTTTTTGATGCCAAATTGTTCATATTATCACCAAACTCACCATAACGTTTGTATTCCACAGTAGTACAACATTATTTTCAATTGAAAATATTGGCTTTTGTTGCTTGTACATTTTTCGGTAAGCCTACTTAGCAACCGAAAAATTCATATCTTAGCTAAACTTTCTAAGAGTATTAAGTACTTCTGTAGTACCATATTAATTTGATTTAAAATTATTAATGGTACATTTTGTATTTTTAGCTATCAACGCCTTATTAAAAGCTGAATAAAATATAATGCCCCGATAATTTTAAAGTGGTTTGAATTAGATGTTTACTTCACAAGCTTATGCCATTTTTTAAAAATTATAAGACAAATAATTTCGTCATCTTTTTATTTAATACCTTCATTCCATTTTATGATGAATTTATCGTATTTGTAAATCAATTAAATGTTTATGTTTTTTACACAAATTCTACAAAAAATTTACATGATTTTTAATTTAATGAAAATGAAGTTAGAGATTTAATTCTTTGTAGATCAAATGTACATTCTGAAAAATAAATAAATAAGTTTAGATGGAACAAATATTTAAATAAGTAGATATTAAATAAATATTTAAGTCAATTGCTTTACTATTCCACCTTTTCAAAATTATTTAGAGGAGTATGGGAAAAAATTGGCGATTCTGTCATTTCCATGTCTTTATGTCTCTTCAGAGTTTATTTATGAAATTCTTCCTTTGGCACTCTTGAATTCAAAATTCTTGTAAGGAACAACTTGCATATGCGCATGTGTAGTTTTAAGTACTAGACAAGTTTATCATTATAAATTTAGTATTTAAGCAAAATTTACCCTGACATCATTTTGGCTTTTGTTTCATATTGTTTTGCATTAAAATATCTAAGTTTCATTTGGCATTCTGCTTATCAAAATTATGTGTCCAGTAGTTATTTATGCTACTGTATTTATTTTGTTATTTTTATTTACATTGTTATTTGAATGTGGCAGAATTCATAGATCTACCCTGTAAGAATATATTTTCATGGAATGTACGGAATCAACGATTCTTTTACTCCTCGGGGGGCTGTTGTCCATGTTCTGGCTACTTATAAATGTGTCTGACAGCCCTCTTGGGGAACTATTTTGATTGCTAAACACTAAAATAACAACTATTCTAAGACCCAGTGACTATGATAAAACTTCAAAAGTGGTAGACTTTGCCGATAATGGTCGATGCTCATGATATAGAAAAGATTTGACCTTTTGTACATCATCAAATACTGTTTCTGGTGTTTAAGCAATTAGAATAAAATAACCTCGCCTCCTCGTTTGGCGTTCCCTGGGCAACATTGTGGTACAATAAAGTGATTATAAGCAAAGATTCTTTTGTATCGCAATGGCTAAGAGGTTATGCGAAAAAGTGGACATTTGATAAATTTAGTATTATTAAAACAATCCAAGAACCTAATAAGAATTTTTGTTGTAGCTGAAACATTTTTAATAGAGTCACCACCATTTTAGAGTTATGTTTCCTCGTTTCCCAATGCCATCTATATGTAAGTAAAATTAGCATATCGGCTGACTTATAACTGAAAAGACTGCTAACTATCTTTAAATTGTTAGAAGAGCCATTTAAATGTAAAAGTACTGAAAAGAGTATCGGCAATGTATTAAAGAAAAAAGCAATTAGCACTAAACAATTGGCGATTATTTGAACTGGCATGAATGAAATATTAAAATTCTTTATTTATGAAGCATCTAATTGTACAAAAAAGTCTTAATTTTATGTGCTAAATGATTAAATTTGTTAGCCAATACTCATTCCTGGCTGGTTAAATATGTAGTGCCAATAACATCTGTATCCATTTGGCTCCATTTTCCCCAGCCCCCGCTTAACTCAATTTTTCATCCTTTTCAGCATTTGCAGGAAATCTAATTTTTTCTTAAGGACATTACAACAATTTTATCACGCAATGTTTTAATCAGTTTTGTTTTCAGAGTTAATTGAAATAAATATACAAACCTTTGAAACTTTTGCCCCATGGGAATAAAACTAATTCCATTTTGTTTACAGCTATTATTGTCAATACATTAATTAAATAAAGCTCATTGCAGTAGGATTAAGAAGGCTTATGAAGTAAATTATTGATAAATTTGTAAAAAAATTGGTAATTAATTCAACACATTTCAATGTTTTTATGTTATGTTTCAGCTTTTTATTAATTTTTCTTAAATTGTATTGTCATGCTCTAGAGTTAACAACGTTTTCCTCAATTTAGTATATTTTGTAGTGAAAATTTAAAATGCCATTTTATGGCAAACACAATAATTTTTTTTTAAAAAATAGTCAGTAATAAAGTCCTAAATCATAATATAAATAAAGTTTAAAAAATAATCAAAACTCCCTGCCACGAAATAATTACCTTGTCGTGGATAATTTTACTGTAGAGAAAACTGATTCTTCATTTATATGTTAAATTCTAAGCCTTTAACCTAACAATTTTTTTTTCGATTCAATTAATTTCCCAATGTAAATTTAATCGAAATTACTTTGCTTTTTACTATTTTGTAAGAAATTGAAATTAAAAGCTAATGCAATTCCGTTACCATAACAATTTTAAAATCTTCATTAGGAGTTTAATAATTTCATTTTCTAAATAAGCTTGCTTTAAGCTAAATCGGCTAAATTCTTTATGATTTTATTTATTTATTTATTTTTAATTAGGATATTAAGTGTTTTATGAGTGCTAAAAATTCAAAAACATATTTGCCATCTTTCCTCCTAAATTCTTTATCAATGACAAAATCTACGATAGTAATCATGATAGCAACAAAGTTAATTAAATGGACAGATCGGCAAATGCAGACACTGAATAAATCAATCAATACTTACCGATATACATCGGAAGTCCAAATCCTAGTAATCCAGAGAAAAAATTGACACATCCCATAGCTATAGACTGTTCATTTTTCTTCATGTATTTTGAAACCAATACAGGATGGCGAACAAAAAGTGACCCTTGCAACATACCGAACAACGCCAAATTCAAGAATAGTGTTATTCGTGTATGCATCAACGGCAGAGAAGCCGTACTGATGGCCTGCAGAACCATCACTATCATCATATACTTCGGAAGAGGCAAGAACCCGCGGTCAGTTATCCATCCAAGGCACAGGCGTCCGAGAAGATCGCCCAGGGATATGGCAGCAATAACATATTTACCATCTTCCTCCCTCAAACCTTTATCCATGGCGAAATCGACAACTGTCGTGATGGCCGGAACAAAGGTAATGAAGTGGACAGATCGGCAAATGCAAATCATCAAGAATAGAGGATTGGCATACAGTTTGAATGCAGTTTTTATGTGCTCAGCAAATGAATTCGAATTCAGCTGTTCTGAGTTATTCTTAACTGAGTTGCTCACTAGCATTTCTTTTTGCTGGAGTTTTTCTATATCGTACGGTATTCTTATCTTACGTAGTTCCGTAACCACTCGAATAATTTTTACCCTCGCTTCTGGGAAGTAGGCAAGAATTTGCTGTTCGTTTACGTTTCGAAGAATCAGTAATTTTCGCAAAACAAAGCTTCTCGATTCTTCGTCGTTCATTACAAGTATATCAGGCACGGAATGTACTCTGGGGAGCATAGCTTCGTTTGAAGGCTTCCTTTGCAAGTGGAAGCTTCTGTATTGCTGGTCCGCAATAAGTTTCAAGTGTTCCTTGTCCTCGCCAATGTAGAAAAGTCTCTGTGTCGGTGGTTCAGCACTTTCGTGGATTTGTTTTGAATAGGTTTGTGACTGGCACAGGCTCTGAATTACAGCCATGACACTAAATTCATGGAAATCAATTTCTAAAATATCTGCGCTTAAAATCGGCAATGAAAACAATTTAACCACCAATTCACTATTCCGTTTTAGGAACGCAACATCTGGGAAAAACTCATCAGACATACAAGGATTTTCAATTCCATTTTTAAATGGTCGCTGTTGCACGGAAAAGATGACAGTATCGTGGAAATTATTCAGATCATTGTGCAGTCGGTGCTTTTCGAGTCTAGCGTTGTTCTTGTTGCAATCAGAACGGTTGTCTGACGAAACTTGTGTCACACATAAACTTTTAAAATCTCTTGGCGACTTCTTGTTAAGCCAAGATGGCTTTCTCAAAATTAGCGCCGCCGGAATGGTGTGCATTACGAGTGCGGCAATCATCAAGAATGTTCCTTCGAGTCCAAAATTTTGTAGAAGATATTCTATCAGCACTGGAAACAAGAATGAGCCGACGCAACCACCAGAGAACCCCATGCCTGCAGCTGTAGTGCGATACTTGACGAAGTACTGACCAATAACAACCTGTGGCAGAGTGACAGTAAGAGCCGTACCAAGACCTAAACATTTTAAACATTCAATAAGATATTTAAATTTTAAAAAAGTTTGAAAGATTTGCAAAAAAAATCATTTAATCATTAACTGTTATTAAATTCAAAATACCTTTTTATAGTAGGCTAATTGAATAACAAGGGTCTTTACAAACGAGCGTCGTCATTTTGCAATGCACCAGGCAATCTAGTAGATGTATCCAAATTTTTTAATCACCCTGATAGAGAAGCGATGGCTCAGGGGATAAAGCGTTTGCCTTCCAATGAGGTGAACCGGGTTCGAATTCAGCAATGATACGAATTGAATTGTCGGCTAGCACCGACCACAGTGCTGACGTAGAATATCCTCAGTGGTAGGCGGTTAGAGTCCCCTTGCCGTCAGGCTACCCGTAGGAGGTTCTAGTTGTTTTCCCCTCCATGTAACGCAAAAGCGGGTTAGTTAACCTCAAAAAGACCTTCTCGCAAGCAAATTTCTCCCAATACTTGATCCCGAAGTTCCCTTGTCTTCTGGATTGGGTTCAAAATTACAAGGCTACGTAGTTGAACATTAGTAGTCGTAAACCAAAGAATTGGATCTACTGTTCAACGACGGTTATAAAATAAAATGAAATAAAAATCAGCCTGATACCTTTTTAAGCTTATTGTAAACAATAAAATATGTTCGTGGCTTAATTAACTTGAGTCATTTCAAGCTGTTTGCAATAATCCCAAATAAGTGCTAAGCTTTATTAAAATTTCAATGCACTACGCTTAACCAGATTGGGTCTGATTAAATAATTGTCCGTTCATTTTTAAATTAGCCTAAAAGCATAGATGTTGCTTCTAAAAAGTCTACAAAAATATAGGACAATTTATAAAATAAAGAGAAATTTTAGAATCGAAATTTACCAATGAGTCTGGCAGATTGTAAAATGTTGTTGACATTAACAAAAGGCAGGATTTTTTAATTAGCCTGCGACACATGCAGTGAAAAGAAAAAAGTAAATTTCACCGTTTTTCAATATGTTCTTTCTGGACTCTTGATCTAATTTAGATTGATCATAAACAAGAGTCATCATCCAGCGTTCTTTAATTACTATTCCATGGGCATCGCAGTTATCCAATTTTTGATGGGGGCGTAATAAAAATACACATAAATCTTATAAATTTCACATTAAAAACTTAAATCCGCTAAGGATCTGCAAAAACATTAACCTCTTTCCTGATTCTACCTTTCATAAGTTTAAATCGATGAGGGTTTATAAAAATGTTATTAGATCTATATGTGCCCTTAATATTTAAAGATCTCTAAAAATTCCCCTCAATATTCTGGCACATTGAGTTTCCTAAAAAATATTAAAGGATCATATATCCACCGTCCTCCCCGTCAACGACGCCCATGTATTATTCCAAAACTATTCCTCTGCATCCGTTTTCATACAGGAAATCTTGACTCAATTCTATATGTTATGACATTATTGTGCACCGAATTCAATAAATAATGTTAATGATTTTAACGTTTTAAACAGCAACAACTCTTATACATTGTTTCAAATGGGAGGACGGAGGGTTGTATACGAATACGAGAGATACACTGAATGCCAATGTTTATTACGTATGTGTACTAGAGAAACTAGATTAGCAATTTTAAACTAGCTAGAATGCTCAAATTTCGACTGGAGTTCTGCATCTGATAGCAATACAAGTTGCAGTTATTTCCTAACCATTATTCCTGAGAGCAGTTTCAGACTAATGCTCAAACGTCAACTAGAACCTTTGCGTCTGAAACTGTACAAGTTGCGACTGGAAGAGTTAGAAGCACAATTTATAGCCAAATAGAATCAATATGTAGGTGTAAAAGTAGACGATGCTTACCATTTATGACACCCCACAGAATGGTTATCCATACGATGTCGGTCGTAAAGAAACAGAGGATGCAGCTAATACTACCGATCAGGCTTCCAGATACGATCACTTTCCTGGCGCCATATTTTTGACCCAAGATTCCTACAACTGGACCTGTGGGGATAAAAATTGTTCTTAGCTGCCAAACTGATGTAACATACTACAGTCAAAAGGTATGATGATATAATAAATACACCAGAACATGTAAACACAAGTGGAATAATTCACATAATTCTCTTATTTAACATTGAAGATAATGGCCTAAATCCATTTCACTGCGTTATTAGTGCATTTTTATTGGATGAAAAAAATCACATGATCCTTCAATAAAAAAAAATTGGAAATTTTTTGCTGAGATCATGGAATTAACAGAATTTATAAAAGTATACTGTTAATTATTGTTGTAATAAAAATTATTCTTTAGAAAGTATATTGCTTGTAAAACATTACTTTATCCCTTGTTTAACGGCATATAATCTTATACTTCTAGTATTTATTTATCATCCATTCTTACTATTATTTTCGTCTTGATTATTCTAAATCATGGGCTTATATCTAAAAGCGATGTTCCTTTATCATAGACTAATCCTATGATATTACCTTTTTGCGCAACATTTTATAATAAACATTTTTAAACGTGCGTAATTAATTATGATAATAGTGAATGATGAAGAATAATGAATACGAAATTTTAAAAATACTAGTGGGCTGCGCCCCCTGCTCGCTAACCCCTGAAAATTGCTACGCAATCTTATATGGTTTGCTTCACAAAACAAGCTCGCTTCGCTCGCTACTAACTCAGGTACATTGCAAACGCACAAATTCTAAGAATTCAAAACTATCATTCAAATCCATATAACAACTTTAAAAAAAAATACATCTTTTTAGTAAATACTAAGTCATTAAAATAAATTTGAATTCAAATATATGACATGTAATTCGTTAAACCTATTAGAAATGTGCTATAGTATAGAATCTTAAGATCAAATTTCTAAAACTCATATCTCTTTAAAAACGTTAAAATTTTGGCTACAATTAAGTCTATTAAAAATTGAAATAAGTGAATTGCAATGGAAAAACCTGCATGAACAAAACATTATGTTCTTAAAAAATAATAACCATGATTCACAACTTTGTTAAAAACATAAGTATAAATCTTAGAAGTTTGACTTACAAACAAAAAAAAACTTGCAGAAACTAAACATTAATTTGCAATAAATACTAAATGCGAACAAATACTGAGAAAGATTAAGGGTTTTTTTAATAACAAAAAAATAATTACTATTAAAGATTAAGAATTTCCTTAAACACACAATTATAAATTTCTGGACTTCTTTCGACAGCTTAGCTTAATAGTATGAGATTGCAGCAGCTGAATTGAACAACTGCTAATGCTCTCTCTGGTTATTTCAGTTTCTGTTTTTAAAAGCGCTATATGTTGAGCCACCTCAGCAAGATTTGGCATGTGACATTTTTAGCGACAATCATTGGTCGATTTTCTAGCGTTGCCATTCGGGGAGTTGTAATGAGGCTTTTTTTGTCGTGTAAGAGAAATATATATATAGATTAGTGACAATGAAAAAAATTACTTCCTAATAAATTATCACTTGGACAAAAAAAAATATTCAACGAGCCTTAATAGTAACTTAAAACAAAACAAACGATCATTAAAAAACAATCTGTGTTAACGCAATAAAAACGTCGAGTTCTTTAAACCATATAATTTTGATGTAATCTGTTTATCATTAAAAATTAATACTTTGATTTGTTTATCATTAAAAATTAATATTGATAACTGAGCAATCTCATTGATTAACGAGCAAGGAGAGGCAGAGCTCCGTAGAACATCTTAAAATGTGAAGAGAACGGTCCTCTAACAGGTAGATAGGTACTTTATTTCTTCACACTAGAGCTGCACAATGGGCTATTGGCGACGGTCTGGGAAACATCCCTGAGGATGATCCGAAGACATGCCATCATAATTTTGATCCTCTGCAGAGAGGATGGCTCCTCTGCTTTTGTTGAAAGGGGAGCGAAGTCGAGCACTTAACCGTAGAACAGTTTAACGAAGACTGGTACCGTACACCCTCGGTCCCTACGCAGACTGGTCAAAGTGGTAAACCACCCGCTTACTGACCGCAGCCAGTGTTGCTTGACTTTGGTGTTCTACGGGGAACCGGGTCCTTGCGATTAATCCACTGCGGGACTTTCTTGAACTGAAGTAGGTTATTGATATTCCAGATTGAACTTAGGAAATGGTTCAGTGGGGGGAAAAATTCTGATAGAACTTGCAAATAATTTTGATGGAACTAAGTAATTCAGAAATTCTTTTGATTGCCTTTTGAACAATATGAGTCATTCACTAGTAAAAAAAAAAGTTTCATTAGAAATCTAACGTGATCTATCAGTTATTATGAAGTAACTATAACCCTTCAAAATAATTATTACGTCAAAATTCAAAATAATTATTACGCTTTACTGCAATGTTAATGCTTAAATATGCCGTAGAAAGGAACTGATGATACAAAATAGGATATTTCGATATGAGCTCCGCAATAATCTTTTATCCTGGTAATAAATTAATCATGTTATATGTGACATGATAACGAACAATTTATCTATTGATCCACTGGATTTTGTATTGTTGGGGGATATATGGATGGTTGTCAGAATGTAAACAATAAAAAACTTCTTAAAACCGGAAAAAAATTTACAAAATTTCCGGTGTATCCCTCCGCTTAATGTATGCTTACGAGGCGATGTGTCAACAGGCTAAATATTCTGGGAAGCTTTATTAATGTGATTTATGTTTAAATTTGAACGTAATTTTACCATTCATAAGAATTTCCTACAATTTATAAATTCTCATTGGTTGCGAGACTAAAACAAATTTAAGAAAATTAATATCACAATATAAATGTAAGGTTTGTCTTGTTTTGAATGTTATCTCTCATTTGTGCAAAATATCACCATTGGTTATTTTTTGGGTTGCATAACATGCTTCCGGAGTCTTCCAAATTTCTATGTTGTTTGTTTCCTGGAAACTGAAATTTAAAAAAAACGCGATACACGGTCAACCATCCATATTCTTTGTAATTTACAGGACTACTTACCAAACAAATTTCTAGCTGAAGATCTTGCGCTGAAAGGTATAGAGGCCCTCTTCCTGTCTACTTGAAAGAATTCTATGAAGGCCACAAATAGGATACCAGACATCCTCCCTAGACCAGCCATGATGAAATTCATGAAACAGGCAGCCGAGGCAACTGCCCATGCAAATCCAACATCGGGACCTTCCATTTTTCTCCTACAAGAGAACACCCTTTGCCTGCATAAAATAAGTTATTGTATAACAGTAGTGGCTTTGCAAGAGTGAACCGAAATAATGATAAGCAAATGCGAATATTTAGCAACAAAATTGCGAACAGATTATTGTATATGTTCATTTGTTGAACACGAGATTTAAGCTAATAAGTAAATATTCTCTAATTTTAAACATATTAACGTTATTCAGTGATTTACTCCAAACAACTTCACAACTCACCCTGGTCCAATGTGTACACATTCTTCCATGGTGAAAGAAGTTCCTGGTATGATACCTGCCGGTGACTAAGGAACATTTCTTCTGCACTCCCCCACATTGCTGACCAAGGATAACGGACTCTTTTAACGACATGTAGCAGCATAATACTTGTCCACCTCATTCCACGGTTTGCTCCGATACCCAAATAAATCACCACGACCTCAACCAATGTCAAAGCCTGAAATGTACCTCAATGGTACAATTACAATACAGCCACGCGGCCTCTGAACCACGCAAAATGCTTGTGGCTGATTTCTATGATTCAGTCTATTTTTTCGCAAATTTAGGTGAAACACACATACGCCCGCGAAAAATATCAAACTTACGTGAATGAAAGAAAGAAACTTTGCACAATCCGTGAGTTAAAATCGTAAAAGTAGTGGAATATCATCTTAAATTTGACCAAATATTTGCAAATATTATATAAATATTTGCAAATATAAGTCCAAGCAAATATTTGTTTCGGAAGTGGATATCATGGAGGTTAAACTCCATGATATCCACCATGGTCCAACGAAATTGTACAATTAAAAAATATATAGAATTTCAAGTAACGAAAAAATATTTAGTTACCTAAGACTTGTACATATTGGCGATCGAAATAGGCTACAGGTAGCGCAGAGCAAAATTCTCTACCTATGGCAACGCTTCGCATGCTTTCACCAATAGCGCGTGGAGAGTTATAGGAGAAGGAAGTACGTTAGTTTCTGTTTTGATTTCCAGACAGATTAAATTTTTTTTTTAAAGTTAGAATACAGCATGGAACTAAAAACTGTATGAAGCATAGTTCTAAAAGAAAGCGTCGTGGAAATTTCAGAAAATACTTTTGACAATTAAATGTGAAAAATATTGTGGAAGAGGAAAGTTTTGTGGCACATTCGCATACAACTCAGCTGAGGAGAAGAGGGAAATGGTAAAGACATGGAACCTGTCTTCTGCCTAGATGGCGTGGCATATTCTAGTGCTGTTTGTAACCGAGAATCGACAGGCATAATTTCATTCTAAAACCAATATATATAAACAAAACTATTGAATCAACCAATTTTCCTGTAATCACACACTGACTTTAAATAGGAATCTAAAACTAAATTATTCTAACCTAAATACCTAGTGTAATGTAAGTAACTAAACTAAATGTAAGTAACAGATTTTAATCTCATATGCTAGTAAAAAAACTTAACTAATTTAGCAATAACTAATTTTGCTTCGTAAAAAACTCGTTGATCTCATTAAAACCATGAGTAAACAAAAGCTGGATTTTACTTTTAGCGGTAAAGGAATCCCATTAGGCTTCGGCAAAAAACAACATTCAGCAGCTATGAACATCGTGCTGAGAAAAACCTCGCTAACAAAACATAAAGATACATAGGATCTAAAGGAGGAAGAAGAAAAAAGAAACAAGCATGCGCTGTTGTTTTAAATCTTATGCACGAGAGCGTGCGGAATATAAGGTAAATTTCCCTATGAATTCGTTCCTTTACCTTGATTGTTTTCCCGTTTTTAATCTGTAATCCGTCACACTATGGATTGAACATGTGAAATGAGCGAGCGAAGCTAGCTTATATAACGAGAGAAAAAAAAGGATAACTTGATTCTTTAAAATATTTTACAGGCTCAGATCAAAAAAGAATATAACACATGTTTCTGTCAAATTCATCAAGTAAAATCACGGCCAATTATTGAAACATTCTAACTTTAAACTTACTGATATTAAATTAAGTTAGCAGAAACATCTTTATAAACACTACGGTGTAGATTTTAATACAGAAAAAAAAATATCACATTAACTCTCAGTGTTAGGCATTTATCCCCTTTAATACTCAAATAATGGACCCAGCGGCTAACAATAAATATTGTAATATATATATCTATACACATTACCTTCAGATGTAGAAAAGGAAACAACACACTGAAGCTTTCTGGGTGTGTGAGAATCTTTAAAAAGTGAAATTTGACGCAATTATGAAAACATGTTTCGTGAAACAGAAGGGATTAGTCTACTTAATCCACAGATAAGTGTGATACTAAATACAAAGTGTGGTAAATCTTAAAGATAAAAACCAAGGAATATTTTCATCGCTCAAACAGGGAAGTTGCACAAGCTGTAATAGCTGCTGTCGTAGATTTCCTCAAATTTACTTTTAATTTCCAGCAATAAATAAGTACTAAAAGAAATACATTTTTTACTATTTAATTTTCTGTATCGTTATCCTGATTCTTGACGCAATGTATCAAAATTCTTTCTTCAGAAATCATGATACAGTAAAAATAGTCATAAATATTTAGTATAATTTTATCAAGATAAATACCTGATAGAACTATCCTGAACAATGAAATACTTTTTACTAACTATTTCATAGTTCAGGTAGTATTTCTATTTCAATTTTCATAGTGCAATTTACTAATTATGAAATACTTTTTCTTCCAGTATTTCTTACTATAAGACATTTACAAAAATCTTTAATAATCTTACAGATTTTCAGAAAATTAAAAAAAACTGAGAGAGCTATTTTTAATTGCTGCCTTGCTCAAAAACTGTTTTTTTTTTCTTGATTTTTTTCCATAAGTATATGTAATTAATTGTCATTTTTTCTTATAACTTCGTTAATATTCACTAAAGATTTCATTAACATATGGGCACGAATAAAAATTTTTTTAATCAAACAAAAAGAATATTCTTTTCATTTTCATGTTTGTTTTCTTTATACAAATAATCATAGGGAAATTAATTTTTTTAAATAATTAAGGAAAATTCAATTTCTAAGAAATATGTTTTTTATGGGCCAAAAGTAGAAAAGAGCAAAACTAGAAAAATAAATTGAAAGAACAAAATATACGTTCTTACCTGCAGTTTTTGAGTTAGTTCATAAACTAACTTAAAACATTCCACATTCATGGAACAATGGAATTAGTATTTTTATCAACATTATTACTACTGGTTACAATTCTTGGCCTTTTAATTAGCCAACGATCCATAACTATAATCATAACAATCAACCACTTTCACTGCTAAGACTTAAAAAAAATAATGAAAGAAAGAAATTTGAATTGAACCAAAAATAAATTTGCTTTTTTTCTAAACTTCGCCAATTGTATTTTTATTCCTCAAAATTTAAGATTGATAAAGTCAGCATTCTGCTGTGGGCTGATAAGATACGGTTCCCCGCAAATAAACGAAGTCCAGCATCACTGGCTGTAGTCAGTATGCAGGTGGGTGATCACTTCAATCAGATTGCAAAGGAACCGAGAGTGTGAGGTATTGGTCCTCGTTAAATTGCTCTACCCTAAAGTGCTCGACTTCACGAGCAGATCAACAGGTTTCGGGAGCAGGGGTGCCATCTCCTCTGCAGAGGAACAGAATTGTGGCGGCATGTCTTCAGATTGTCCTCATCACCGAAATCAAGCATCACTGGCTGCGGTCAGTGTGACCACTTGGTTCAGCCTGCATAGGGACCATGGGTGCGCGGTATCGGTCCTCGTTAAACTGTTCTACCGTTAAGTGCTTGACTTCGCGTGCAGGTCGTCGGGCTTCCGAAGCGGGGGTGCCATCCCCTCTGTAGAGGATCAAAATTATGATGGCATGTTTTCAGATCATCCGCAGGGATGTTTTCCAGATCATCGCAAATGGCCCATCGAGCAGCTTTAGAGCGAAGTAAATAAACTACTAATGATAGAGTCAGCAATGCTCCTCGATTGATCACGTGTGAAGAGAAAAGAAGAAGAAAAATGTTCCCTGAATAGATGTAGACAGGTACTTTATTTATGTCGCACTAGAGCTGCACAGTGGGCTATTGGCGACGGTCTGGCAAACATCCCTCAGGATGATCCAAAGACATGCCATCGCAAGTTTGATCCTCTGCAGAGGGGATGGCTCCCTTGCTTTGGTATCCCGACGACTTGCGCGCGAAGTCGAACACTTTACGGTAGAACAGTTTAACGAGGACCGATTCCGGTTCCTACGCAGGCTGATCAAAGTGGTACACACTCGCTTACTGACCGCAGCCACTGATGATTGATTTCGGTGTTCTACCGGGAACCGTGTCTTTACGATCAGTTCGCTGCGGAACGCATAGTTGGAGAACATTTAATTCTATAAAATCGTTATTTTGTTTATTTCTTGAATAACGCTTAAAAGTTTAAAATAATCATGCATAGAGATTTCATTAACGTAGAAATGCATTATTTCGGAGAGGGTATTGTCTCCTCCCGAAATACGTCACTGTATTTTATCATCTTTTTCGATTGTACTAATAGGGATTAAAATCAGAACTGAATTTTTTACATAGCGTCTATATACCATTCAAATTGAATAATCAATTACACATGAACATTTTTTAATCTAAACTTGATTGAAAAAAATACTGAAACTATTTTTGTTATCGTAGGCTATTAAGGCACTAGAGGTGCGATTGTTCTTGTTTTCCAGTGGCGCCATCTACGGCCCAGAATGTGACTTCTGCTGGACCCATCACACTCGTTTATAAGGCGGACCCATCATAGATCGTAATTTTTGATCTGAACCACAGAACAGGCAATCTCCAATCCATTACTAAAGAGGTGATTTGTTATGGGATTATGGAGGACTTTGTGACCGGATAGATTTAATGTGCACCAGTCACCATTTACTACACAGGGAGTCTTCAAACTCCCGTTATCACGAACATGAGTCCAGCACCCTACCAACCAGACTATCGCGGTTCACTGAAACTATTAAAATATCGATATTATTAAATCAAAATTTTAAGTCATAAATTCCAAAACCAAATTTATTAAACTAAGCTGTAAACTTAATTAACTAGAGATTGCAATTTAATTTACTGCATCATTTGTAACAGTTTCCCAGTTCATGAATATTTACTAGGAAAACAATTCTTGTCATTACATGCTCTATATGTGTGAACGATAACATTATTTAAAATTATTGTTAAAAATGACATACTGTTTTGATACCTATAATCAACATATGTACCCATTTTTCCACTCAATTTCTAAACAATGAAAATTCCCTAGGTTTTATTTTCTCATTAGGTAAATATGGACCCTTGTGATTCTCAAGTGATAGTTCCTACCTTTTTTTAATATTTTTACGTCAGATTTAGTTTACAACATCGTTGTTTGATCACCTTATTTAGAACATACAGCAAACTCTGGAATTAATAATCCGACTCATCTTGACGCAAATGATCATCGAGCTTTTTAAGCCACCTTCACATTCATTAATAAGATTTGTTCGTTATGTAAATAAAGTCATACCAAATAAATTCCGTATAATGCAATCAAAGATTTAAATTATTTTGCAATAAAGGAGAGTACCTCGAAAGCATAAGTATTAGAAGAAATCATTTGATTATGGTAAAACAGCATTATATCAAATGATACGGAATAGAAGTTAATCTTATTCTAATGGGAAGAGAGTTAATTTTGATGGGATGATCTACTAAAAACATGTAAAGAGTATTAGCGTAAAGCCAACAGCAAAGAATAATAATAAAGAAAAATGGAATTATTTAAGCTGTATTGGTAAAAGGGAATTTAATTATAGACTATATCTACCTTCATCTGTCAAAAGGTACTTTAAAATAGAATAAAGTTAACGTTTTATATACTAGTGAATTGGTATTTAATATTTATTGTGGTAGTTACGCCACAGGTATACGTCTTTTAGTTTAGTGTATGACTTCCTAGCGTTTTTCCGCACTGATTTATAGATAATTTACTTTTGTTATCTCGAACAAAGTATGGATATTCAGCTAGTAAAATATTAAAATGAGTTTAAAAAAATTTAAAACATTTTCAAAAATTTTATTTTTTGTCCAGCTTGAAAATGTTGAAAAATTGCTATCGCATTTATTGAAGCTTTTTCCTAAGTCCGCGTGCAATCAGAATGTTCTGATTGGACGTTGAGTTACAGCTCAAGAAGGCTATAAATACAAGTAAATTTGTTACTCTGATGTTCTTTTCTGTTGTATTTTTCAACTGTGTTACACTCTGATGTAATTAAGTAACAGAAACAAAAAAATATAAGGCTCATTATTTTGGAAAGTGGGGATAATTTTTTGTGGTGAAAAAAGTTAACTATGAGAATAATTTAACTTACTTTTTTTGTTTTAATTCTCACAAATATAAATATATATATTCTCATTGAAAAAAAATTTTTTTTGAACCCGATATTTTATGCAGTAAAGAGATCGACATTTTTATTCTACTTGGCGATGAATTTTATTTGCAAGTGGTCAGAAAAAAAAAGATTAAAATTGTATATGGTCATCGGGCATGGAGCACTAATCGAGCTTTGAATGCTTTAAATAGTCAGAAAGTGGTCAAAATTTCATTAGCTAGATTCCAATAGTGCGGGAAAAATTCCATTTACATTGATTAAAAAAACAACATATATTTCATACTAAATAACATTTTACCTACTAAGTGCCGATCTTAATGATTCAAAGGACTGACCTCAAATATGAATACTTATTAGGTTACAAAATAAGACTCAAAAACGTATTTTCGCTACAGAAGCAGGACTTATTTTAGTCATGCATTTGGATTCTTGTCAATTAAAATATAACACGTAGCTGTAATTAGGAATATATATGATCTCAATAATTTATCAAGAAAAATAGTCCAAGAGGAATGAATGTACCCTGTCCTTGAATTTTTTATCATGCTAGTTCCGGGTATCAAACTAAAATTTTATCAGTTACCCGGCCAGTTTCGTGTACTTGATAAAATTCGGATTAATTACCCGTCCAGTTACAGTTATGACAATTATATAAAACAATATAAAAATTGTGTAATTTTACATCTAACAAGTATTTCACAAGATATAGTTCCCCTATATGAATAAAAGCATGTTTTATTTTAAGAATTTTTTTTAAGCTAAATTTTTAAAAAAGTTAAGCTTTTTCTGCTAATTTAATGTGCATTTATTTGTGAAACAGATTAACTTGAATGCCCACAGATGGCGCTCGAACTGAACGAACATTAATGTTTTTTTTCTTTTCTGTTTTAGTTTTTGATTTCTATAGCTTCGATGAAAGAAGATCGTTTTTATGTAATGTCCGTCCTCTCATTAAAATTGTTTAATTATTAGAATTCGTTTTCTTTTGAACACAAGCGAAGCAGTAGCGAAGTTATGGTAAATAGATAAGATCCAGGTAAGAGAGAAAATTAGATTTATTTCTACTATACCTTTTTCAATTTGAAGTGGAACTAAAAAAAATAAATCTCTAATTGAAATTTTATTCTCTTAACATTAATACGGCAAATTTAAAAAAAAAAAAAAATTTAAATTAGTAAAAACCAAGGATAATTTTACCTAAAAAAATTGTTAGTAGTTATTATTGGAAAGTTAAATTATAAAATTTGCATCATTCCAAATTGTGTAATTTTAAATAAAAAATTTTTTTAAAAAAAAAGTCTTGTACAAAATCGATCAAATAGTTTCCAAGTAATAAAATTTCAAGAACTATTTGACTGATTTTGTTAGCTTTTATATGCTGACATTTAGAATTACAAATGGCATTTAATATTACAAATTTGTATTGCTATTTAAAATGTTTTGGCCATAATTTAATAAAATATAATTATTTTTTATAGGATTGCTTTTTGGATAATCTAGCTTAGTTGCGTGCAAAAATAAGCAAAATACGAACTAACGTTTAAGCGCTTCAAACTTTCTACAGTTCTCCTGTCTGATTAAACTATTGAGACCACACTTTCAAGATTGTGGCTATACCTCATAATCCAATGGTCAACAGTCTAAACTTTTGAAAAGGTAAGTTTCTTCAAAGAAAAATTACCCAACTTAATTAATAATTATCATTAATTAATTAGCATATAAGGGGCCGTTCAAAAAGTACGTAAGCGAAAATGGAGAATAACCCCCTCCCCACCTTTTGTACAATACCGTACATAAAGTCTTACCCCCCCCCCTTAGAGTACGCACATTTTATTAGTCAACCCCCCTTTTTCATAAAAATTAATATAATTATGTTTTAAATAAAATTAAATAGTTATTTAAGGAGTGTGTAGGAAAAAGTCAAATTTAAATTTGGTGCATGATTATAATGTACGTACTTTGCATAATACCTCCCCCCTCCCCATCGTACAAAATAGCAAATCCCCCCCTTCGGTATGTACGTACTTTTTGAACGGCCCCTAAGGTCAATTCTTTGAACTAATCATTAGAGAAAAAGTTATTCAGAGGGATTTTTTTGTGACATGAGGGTAAGATAATTTGTAATTTTCTAATTCAAAATGCTGTTTTCTCATTTTTTTTAAATAAAACTTAACACATTGTTTTTTTATGAAATAGAAATTTACTACAGATAATCAACTTTTGGAAAAAAAGAAACGATTTATTTCTTTACTCATTAATATGTTAAAAAAAAACTCAATTTAAAAAAAATTATCACAAAGACCTTTAACTCCTTTAAATCAGCAACCTCACAATTCAGTATTACTAAAATGTGTAAGAATATCTTGCTTAAATCTAATAAAACAATTGTATTTACAATAAAAACAATCGTAATTGTATTTTACACATTAGTAGGTGAACAAAACTAAGTTTTAGCTATCACAAATGCCATTGTACTGTATACAAGAAAAAATTCTACTAACAGTAGAAGACTACACTTTTAAATAGTCATTTCTAGAAAATAACATGAAATGAAAAAAAAAAAGCTACAAGTAATGGAAACAAGATAACAAATTGAAAATTTAACAAAACATGTTTTATTTATCATTCATACAAAAACACAACACATAGTTGCAAAATATCCTACTTTTGATTAATTAATCATCAAAATATTATTTGCCGCAAAAAATAACAATTTCAGATCCAGATCTCCTTTGAGAAATAATTTTAAGCAATATTTTTGTCTGACCAGGAGTTTTAAATCATCCTATGTTCTAAGGCTCTAGCAATTTTATCGTATCCTACAGATATTCAAGAAGTCTCATGCATTGTAATGGCATTGGCCAACTTGCAATAGAAAGATTATTCTGAGCATTAAAATATATTTATATTTATTTAAGATAAAATATGGAGGAAGATTTATTAGATTAAATTTTTTTTCTTGAGAATGAAAGAATAACTCAACTGTGAATTAAATTTGTATTTTCAGCATGAGCAGATGCTTAAATTTAATTTATTTTTATTATTAAAAGAAACATTAGAAAAATAACCAACTTTAGACCTTGCATATATATATATTATATATACAGCACAATAAATAAATACAAAAAGAAAAAAAAAAACATTTTTTTAAAAATAATTAAAATATCCGAAAAAAAAAGGATATCTTCATCAGCTCACACGATTATATCCTCAAAAAGGAGTGCTTTCTAATATTGTATGAATATAGACAAAGTAAAATATATCAACACAATAGTGTGAGGAGTACTCACTTTTTTTTAGTGCTTTTCAGTACTATTGTATTGATATATTTTGCTTTGGAAATATCAATGCAATATTTTACTCAGAAGGGTATAAACTTGTAACCATTGAGGCAAACAAGTTACAAAATAGTTTGGAGCTTTGGCGGATGTAGCTAGCTAAAACAGGTACAGATACAGAAATGTCCATTATCCATTAATTCTACTTTACTATGTGTAATGACATTTCTCAAAATAATAAAATTTACAGGTGAAAATTTTAAGAGGAAATATGGATAGAAAATTGAAGTGAAATTCATAACAGACAACAGGGGTTTTGAAAAGAATGATTTTAGTATCTGTTTACATAATAATGTAAATCCATATTTAAGGGGAAAATTGTGTCTCAAATATTGATTTATTTCAATATTTTGGTAAAAAGGCCTGCAATATTTTAATATAAAAAATAAATAAAAATGGGGGTACATTTTTGTCCTCAATTCACCATTCACATTAGGTAAAGGAGCTTCGTAGTGAAAAGCCTTACTTTAATTTTAAGTATAGGGTTTATTGTAGTATTCATACGAAACTTGTTAAAATGTATAATAAAATATTAACAGATGTTTTAATATGAACTAAAACCTATTTAAAGCTATTACAGAATAGTGTGTTTTAATTTCAATTCAGCTTTTATTAGCAGATTGCTAAATACTTTATTCTTTCCGCCTAAATAAATTACAAATGATTATTTTAAAGTAATTTTCCACGAAAACAAATATTGATTGCCAATAGTAAAAAAAAAAAATTAGAGTAATGAAAAGTGAAAGAGTGTGGTAGGAAAAGGAGACAAAAAAAGTAACTGCTTCAAGTTATTTTCTGTGAATAAGCCATAATGTTTACAACAGATTCAAATGCAAGCATCTTAAAAGAAACTTTTTAAGGATTTCTCCAAAAGTTTAAGAACTAAAATATTTATAACAAAAGTGGAGGAAGGTGTTGACTTATCGTAGAAAAAACAAAACAAGAATTTGAACTTCAGAATTAAATCCAATTTTTCCCAACCAAAGTTGTAACAAACAGAAAATATTGATTAACAGCAATTTTTTCTCTCAACACAAATAATGTAGATGCAGTACTAATTTACGATTTATTTTTAAATTGTGTAGGTACACAGTAACATAGAAATTTAAAAAGTAAAATCAGAAATTTCGTAACAAACTTTCTTTTCACTCTTCATTTACACAGACAAATAGATTTACAAATACTGTGCCATGATTATAGCATAAACAGATGTTGTATAACATTCACAAAATCAACTCCTTGTATTTTTAAGACCCAAAGCATCTCTTAACAGCTTTGCAACATTGGCTGAATCATTCTCCTCAGCGTCTGCAAAAAAAGAAATAGATATACATTAAAAATCAGACACAAAAACATATATACTCTGAATAAACATACCTTTTTAATGGATTCGACTTTCTGACATCCAGATATTTCAAAAATCTGGGAAATATGATCCATATGCAATTATAAAATTTGCTTATCCAAAGATATTTCCATGCAAAAAAAAATTGAATTTTAAGGTATACAACTTTTTACCTAATTGAAAATAATGTAATTTTACCCAGCAAAATACAAATTTTGAAAGAGTTATATAGTTAAAATTTGATTTCTCAGTAACTATTCAACCGCTTTTGCTCAAATTTTTTATTTTCAATTCGGTACTTACCTGACCAAGTAATTGGAACTATAATTCCCAGATAGCGAGTACCCCCTATATTTTAGATTTCAGAAATCTATATCCGTTGAGAGAAGGTATGCTTAGTCATAGAAAGTATGTTTTTGTGTCTAATTTTGTCTTTCAAAATAATAGAAATTAAGTACCATATTTGAGGTCATCCCCTGTAACCTTTAAGATTGAGTCCTAGTATGTGAAGATCTGATGATTAGATCAAAAGTTATTCAGGGTGGTCCATTTTTTATTTTGCGCACTGTACATAAGAATAGAAAAGAGTGAGTCTGCTTAAAAATTTAAGTTCTAATTATCATTTTGAAACTACCCCATTTTTTAAAAATAAATATCAAAGCTTTTTCTGTAGTAGTGAACGGATCTGACTCTTGTACTTAAAACTATTTACAGCCAATTACCATTGTAGCTGTAGCTATACCACCAGTCCTGTGGTGCAAAAGGGCATCACAAAATATTTTTTTAATGCTTTACAGCCAGTATTTAATTAAAATTATTTAGTCTTAACTCCCATGGAAACAGGATTTCTACAAAAGGGAACTTTTCTGGTAAATGTTATAAACCAATAATTAGGTAGCATATTTTGATATTTTATGATCAAACCTTTTAAAAATCGTGTTGCCAGCATACACATAAAAACTTTAACCAGTTATAGCAATCTAAAAATTTTTGAAGCATTGTTCCTTGGAATAATTTTGGGAAACTCAAATTTTGATGTTAATAATCATTTTTATTTCAATAAACAAACTTATCTAACTTCTGTATGAGAAGAGAAAAAAAAGAAGTTTAATTGTTTACTTCAGAAAGAAAATAAAATCCAAATTATTGTTATTCAAAAAATAAACCTTTTAACTTTTTAAGCTTACAATTATCAGTAGAAATTTTGAACGTAGAATATCTCTTCCTAAAGCTTAGATCATTTCATTTCAAAATGTGTCATTTCAAAATGTATTGATTAATAAAATTTTCAGAATACTTGAATTTAGTTAAAATGTTATTTAATTTTTTTTTAGGATTACAACAATTTTAAATAAATACTGTACGTATAACATTAAAAAATTTAAACTCCCCTCATTAGCACCTGGATACATTGCTTTATCTCAACTTTCAGTCCATTATTATTGCAGAGTTTAAAAACATAAAAGTTATAACTGTGCTACTCTATGCCTATAAAGAAACATTAAATGTATCATGAGTTTGAGGAGAAAATTGTACGGGTTTGAAGAGCTCACATCTACTCAAAAGGAAGACTTCATTTTTCCTGATTAGTAATATTAAATGAAAAATTTCTGAATGATGCTGTGTATTTCTGTACAGCAAGAACACTTAAAAAAGAACAATAAACCACTAAATTTTATGATTTTAAATATTAAAGACAATTAAAAAGATGCATGCATCTGAATTACAAACAGGGTTGGCATTTTGACATGGCAAAAATTATTCAAATTAAAGCAAAGACAAAAAAATCATAACAGAATTTAAGATATATTGTATGCAGCTTTAGAGCATAAAACATAATACAGATTTTAAGTTAAACTTGCTAAATATTTTGTTAAACACCTTTATCTCTATTGGCGTATGAAATAACATAGAATAGAAAGTTTAATATTTGCTATTTTATTCTAATATATATATTATATACATATTTTATTAGGATATAGCTGTTTTCAATTCCTGTTCGGGCAATATTAGAACAATGTAAAATATTAGTGTAATTTTTTTTTATTACATTGAATCAGATAGAAAAATTGTTTCAATATAATAGTAGTAGACTTCCATAAGTTATTACAGTACTGAACTATTTTAAACATGATCAAAAATGCACTAAATCTATGCACACTTCCTATTTTTATGCAACACAATAATATAAAGTTATAACCAAGGCAGAGGAATTGGAGTCTGAAAGATTTGCTGTACTCTTACTAATTAAAGTTAGTTTTATATGTTGTAAAAGAAGTCTTGAATCTTACAATAATAATGTAGTTAAAAATTTTATCACGAAATTCATAAAACTTTTGAAAGATAAACAAAAAATTTATCTTCTGATTCATAAATTCAAAGAGACATTTAGACTATTTTCGAAGTTATTTAAAAAGGTATTTGAAAACTATTATAGATACATTAAATTTATTTACAACTCTTGAATATTCACTAAAAATCTTCTTTAAATTATATATGTTATATGAGATATGGATATCTAGCAGTATTCTTAAAATGGTTTTACACTATTTCAATATTTTGTGAAAATATATTTTTCAGTTGCTGTTTTACGTAAAAACTACTTTTTATATTAGAGCATACATTTAGTTCAAATTGAAAAAATAAATAAATATATAATTTAAAATTAACATTTACTTAGTAATGACATTGAAATTTACTCAAAATACTAAGAAAGTATTAAAGAGTATGAATCACAATCAGGTTTTAAGAAAAGTTAAGAGAATCAAATATTTTAACTTCCAATTCCACACCACAGCTCTATTAAAACAAGTAGTGCAATTTTAAGGTATCAATTATAATGTTTAAGCTTTTGGTGGCGAAGAAAAAATATAATTTGCGGGATAATTCATAGAGAAAGCCGTCAAAAAATCACCAACCCGACAGATAAATGACAAAGAATGCATGCTTAAAAAAATGTTACTATATTAGCACATTCAATATTACTTACCAGGATCTACATGAATATTCCAAATTAGGGATTAAAATAGAAAGAAAAAATATATAAACATTGTAATAAACCAAGTTTTAAAATAACAAATTAATACTATAAGTAATAGAACACACTATTTTTGAAAAAAAGTTTAGATAATAAATATTAATCTAACTGTGATTTGAACTCTCTCTAAATCTATGAAGTAGATCTTCTAGCGTCAGAAATGGAAAAATTTTACAAATCTTCTATGAAATTTTGGTTGAGAAAAAATCTACTTAATTTTGTAAATTTTCAAAATTATTCTATTTTTATCATTTTGGAGGGTTTCAAGACCTCATAAACTATTTTAGAGCATTTGTGGAACATAGAGAATTTTATTTTGGAGATCAAATTATGCATCGGCTAAAAAAAAATATTTTATTTGGGAGAATCATATCCTTCTTTCGAAAATTATATACATATTAGCAGCATTGCAGCAAAAATTTTCTTGCTTTATGATGAAATACTGTAGAAGTGAATAAAACAGGGATTAGTGATTCTTAAAATTGTGTGAATATGGTTACAGTGGGTGATTTTGAAGTCACATGAATTTGAACATCAATGTGTGACTGTTAAATTGCATGGATGTAGATCTTGATGTGTTATTCGTAAATCAAACTAATTTCAAGAGCAACATGTGATTTTTAAATTCTATAAATACACATTGCAATGAGCGATTTTGAAATCAAGAGATCATGCGGCGTGACTTTTAAATTTGGATTCAAAATTTTAATTAATATATATTACAAATATAAATGGATTTTTTTTTGTATTTCTTAAAAAATAAGACAAGACCATAGCCCTCATGCATGGCATGAAGCATGAACAGGACTAAAATTTAAGTAATTTTTTAGATCTTATTCAGTTATCACAGAAAAGAAATACTACTTATATGAAATTGAATGTTTGTTTTGCCAAAGAACAAAAAATCATACATAAAAATGAAATGGTGCACATTAAGAAATTTAAAAAAAATTTATGATTTTTATTTACTTATTATTTTTATTTTAACAAATTGAATAATTTCAAAATAAAGAAAGTTTCTATCAGATATATATTTTCTTTAAGAAATATTATAGCCTTACTTAATAAATGTATGAAGAAGTGATATGAAGGTATTCTGAGTTTTTCATATGATTAGTTTTTAAAATTAGAGAGAAAAATAAGAACTATCAGGATTTTAAGAACAGCAAATAATAAATCTGCTAGACAAGAAATAAAAAACATTTCAAATACCGGAACTCCTATAAAAAATGTAAGAGCTTATACAATATTCTAAATTTCATCCTATAGTACATACAAAAGTATTCCTAACTGGACTGAAAATTTTAAATTAAATAAAAAAAAACTTTTTTGTTAATACAAAAACTTAACCAAGAATAATTTAGAGCAAGATTGCAGGGCTACTAAATAACATNAAAATACTGCGATATTGGGTAATACAAATCTACTGTATAAACAAAAAAAAATTGAATAATATGCAATAAAATTAAAAGCAAGTATTGAAAGAACAATAATAAACATACCTGTTTCATCATGTATATCTCTTTCAAGCTTTAGTTTTTCTTTAGCACTTTGCAAAATACCTTCCTCAATGGTATTTTTACTGATGAATCTTATGACACGAACATCCCTAAAATGAAATGTTTTCGAATAAGCATTAAAGAAATTAACAAAATTAGAAAATTAATGACTATCAAAACATATTAATTAGAACAAAGATTCAAACTAACTGAGTTCTGAATAAATGTAGAATCACCCACATTGAAACTTTATATTCAGTATATTTGCAACAATTCAAATATTATTATATTTTGTCATAAAATCCGGCCCTTAAATCTTCAATTTTACAATAAAAATTTGAGAATACTCTATTTTAACACTCATCACTAATGGCTTGATCTTTTACAATTTCAAAAAGTAAAAAAATAAGAATTACCTTGCTCTTTCACTGTTATCTAAGCAGAATAAACTGTCAGTCAAAATAACAAATTTAATTGAAGTATGAAAGAGAGTTGTAAGGAATTGGGTAAACTTTGGGTGAAAAAAAAAAACCTACAATGTCAGGATCAACATTCCATTGCAATGAAATTTGGAAACAAAAGAATTAAACGTAGATATATGCACCCATCGAAATCTTGATGAACTTAGTGCTTTAATCATTTTCTGTTAAGGTTTGCAAGGAAGATGTGTTCATTACTTAGAATGGCTTAATAATAGTTAAAATTTCTTTATTTTGGGGAATAAAATTGATTTTATTAATATTGTTGCTATCTTGTCTGTTTCAGCACTAAATATTTTCAAAAGTAATTTTATTATGTGGCCATAAAATTTACTTTTATAAAAATTATGCGAAATATTTATATTATAAAGAGAATAAAAATTTAAGAGAATGTTTAACATGTGGATTTTATAATAACCTTCCATATAAATTATGAATAAAAAAACACTTTTCACAAGCTCTCATTGTGTAAAATAATTTATTAATAGTCATATCACTCATGTAACTATCATATATTTTATATGATTGAACAGCATTGTTATGTTGTAAATATAAAATTTATAATAGAATTTTTACAAGAAATAATCGTAAGTGGCATTAGGTTTATTTAGAACCTCACCAACTATTTTTTGCTACCAGGAATTTCAAGATAAGTTTCTTTTTTTTAGGTTTATAAAAAGGATTTTTTTAAGCTTTGTGTAATAAATACAATTTAGCATTTTCCCTCACTTTTTTTTCTACAATCAAATTGTTTGAGAATTTCAAGTTTTCCTGAATTCCCTGACAATTTCAGGTTTCAATTACCGCCAGAAATTGTCAAAAATGAATTAGTTATGAAATTAAAGGAAAGTAATCTTAAATTATATCTTGCTTTCAAAAGGAAAAATTTTAAACCAAACTAAAGGTAATTCAAACTTACAAAAGATTATTATTATTTTGTTGTTGTTGATTCTATTATATTACAGTACATTAAAAATAAAAAATTCCTAATTTTCTCAAAACTTAGATGAAAAAAAAATAATAATCTAGTAACTTAACTTTTTTTCAACACAATGCTATTTAAAATACATTTTCTTTATTTTATTTAGTTAAGGGGGTGGACGTGTAATTAGTACTAACATTAAACATTTTATTGGTCATAGTTATGATAGTTTTTAAAAGAATTATGACATTTTTGTTCTTCTAACTAAACAATAGATTCAGTATGAGAAAAATAAAAAAATTTATACCTGACTTGACCTACTCTGTGGCACCTGTCCTCAGCTTGTTTATCATTGTACGGATTAAAATCAATGTCATGTATAATGACAGTATCCGCTGCAGTTAAGTTAATACCAAGACCACCTGCTTTAGTGGATAACAGAAATAGAGAAATGGATTCATCATTGTTGAATTTATCAATCATTTCTTGCCTGCAACATACATCAACTATTAAATGTCAAGCAACGGAAGTGGTTGGATATTATTTCATTACAAACTTTATTTGCCTGAAAAATATATAAATATGAAATAGCAGTCAACATGTTTCAAGTGCTCAAAAAACAGGCATCCATTTTCAGGACATGCCGAATGTGAAATCATATTTGGCAAGCTAGGTCGCGTTTTTTGAGCACTTAACGCATGTTGATTGCTATTTCCTATTAATACATTTTTAAAGCAAATTTGTATTTATGTCATACATGAACTATGTTAAGACAATGCAACATAAAGCTATTCCCAATCTGAAATAGATACGTGGAAAGAGCTAGGACCAATACGATAAAAAAAACATTTTGCAAACACTTTTAGAAAATTTTGATTGAATAGATATTTAAAGAACAAAACAGATAAGAAGATTGTTTTGAAATATAAAAAAAAAATTTGCACATGAGAAATTTATTGAAAAACTTATAAATTCTAAAATAAGTAATTTTTAATTTAAATTTTCATTTTTAATAATTTATTATTTATATTTTGTAAAAAATGCCATTGCAATAATTATGCATAGGCAATATTAATGGAATGAGTTAATCATTGCAATAAAAATAAATAATTTAACAAGCTATAGAATGCAAAAAAAAAATTTTTTGTCACAAGAGAAACTTTGATTATATTAAAAATCCTTCAATATTTAAATCACTGGATAAATTAATATTTCTAGATTAATTTTCCATATCAACTAATTGGAAAAAAATATATACTTGAATAGAATAAAAATTAAAATAATATTAACATTAAATATAATCAAGATAATATTAAATATAATCAAAAGAATATTAAATATTAGTTATGTGAAATATGCATTATATGTAAACAAAATTATTTTTATGGGTTGATTCTTCTTAAAATTTTTTAAAGCATAAAAATTTGAAAGGTACCTGAACATTATTGAAATATTGTTACTTTAAAATTTTATTTTATTCAAACTGTATAAAAATAAATAATTTTAAAACAAAAAAGCTTATTGGTGTATAAGTATGTTAACAACAGTTTAAATTAAGTAGAATTTTAAGAAATCTAATTGTGAAAGTAATCATGAAAAAGTAACAATATAATCCGTAAGTTGACGTGTAAAACATAGATTTCTATGAATATATTTGATACATGTTTATTACTAGAAATAAATGCAAACAATTAAGACAACATATTAAGAGCTTATTCTTATAGAGCAGTGATTCTACTAGTCTTTAGTATTCACAAAGATAAATAAAGAGGAAAAAAATATATATACAGCCAGACTTCTATTTAGCAAACTTCCATTTTGTGAATTTCTCTATTTTGAGATTTTTTTAAGGAACCAAGAACATTTTGGAAATTTCTTCGCAAGATAACTTCCAAATAGTGAAGTGAATTTCTATTTAACATGCTTTTCTTTGAGATCCACTTTCCCAAAATATTCCAGAATATTTCAAACGTGCTAACGCATTTTATGGGCGAAATAACCTAGAATTGATTTTCAAAGCCACTTTAACTTCTAGAGAAAGCAGTAACATCCCTTTCCATTTTCGTTTGCATTTTAAACGAAAAACTCAAGACAAAATTAACAAATTTCATCAGTAGCAATTTAACTTAAGAACATATGTGGCAAAGCATGTTTAAAATTACTTTTGTGTCCCAAGTAATTTTCTTGCATTCCTTCAACAATTTTTTATTTATTAGCCACTAGGTCTAATCTCTGGAACTTTAAACTAGAAATTTAGTCTCTGGTTAGGAGTGGAGGAAACCCAAAGAAATGGCACCTTAAATAAAAGTGAGGGACTTGTTGCAATAACGAGGTTATTCCAATATTTTATTAAACTTTTAACTTTGGACAGTATAGCTGTTTCAATTAGGCAACCAGGTACAAATATAAATAGCGTGGAAGAAAATTATATATGACTAATAACTCACAACAATAGTGGATATATAAGACTTTAAGTAGACATAAGACATACTCGATTGTGCACTGAGCCCCTTATTGTACTCAGTTTATAAATAGATCATTTTTATTAGTAATACTATAAATAACAGGAATTTCAAATTAACATACCTTTCTGAAACAGGAGTTTGACCATCTAGCCTCAAAAATTTATATTTCTTAATGTTCATGTATTCTTCAACAATATCTAATACCATTGTAAATTGACTAAATAGTAAAATGCGATGATCCTAAAAATGAAACAAGCCATACATAAAAATCATCTTAGTAAAATACATCGATACAAAAAAAAAAAGAAGAAAAAGATAAAGACATACTTCTTCCAACATGGAAGGAATAAGTTCGTCTAATACTTGAAATTTCCCAGAAGTAAGAACAAGTTCATCTGGTAGAATATACTTGTGAAGAGACTGGAAAAGAAAGATTTTATTACGACTTAAACTAAGTTGGCACACCACTTCTCTGCTCTCACATAACAATTCTTTTCTCCTTAAAATTTTAAATTGAAAGCTACAAATTTAGGAAAATTCTACTGGAATTACAGTTCTAACTTTCAAAGTATGAGGCATGTTATTCCACTCAACATTTATTTTCAACAAATTAGTACAAAGACAATAAAAACAATTAAGAGCTCAAAATATTTAATCGCTTTTTCAATTATGCTATAATGGCTGACAATCCCAGATCAATATTAATATTTTAGGATTACAAGTTTGTTAAAAGAAGGTATACATAAAACTTTTTCTTTGCATGTTCGCATTAATATAATAGTCAGCTCTAATGAATTAGACAATTTAAGATCTTTACTTCAAACTATTAAAAATCAATTTTTAAAGTGGTCATCATAATGTCACCATTAATTTCTTCCAAGCAAAAGATTACCCCAAGTCAAAATTATTGATGATCCAACATCATTTTATAGTCACCATCATCCAACATTTTCCATTATTCGTTCATGGTTTTAGATATGCCAACAAACTTCCATCATTCCATGATGGAAAATGCTACTTTAATACTATGATGGTTAAACATCAAGTTTGAATCTCATTGACCAACAGTCCATGAGGATCCGTGATGGTTTCAACTAGACATTTCCATGATGGTTTAATGGGAATTCTTGTTGGTTCTCAGGTATATACACCTTAAAAACAATTTTTTTTAACTTGTTAGACCACCATAAATCAGTCCAAGATTTGATTCCTAAGATACTATGATGGAAATTTGTGATGGTTCATTACCAGGGTCCCCACTCTTTCAACAAAGCAAAAATTAAGCACTTTAAAAAAATACTTTTTCGAAAAATTAAGTACTTTAAAAATAATATGAAAGTTTATCATCAAACATACACACACCACAAGTGAAAGTGCAAAACCTTCCTAAAAAAATCAATAAATACAAAAAATAATAACAAACAATTTTATTATAATTCAAGCAACTGTTGGATTATCAATGTTCTGTTGGTTTATCAATGGAAAACCATCAAAAACTTTGACTTTGGTAATACACAGTATATGCAGAAAGATGTAATAGTCAACTTAGAAAAGAAAAATTATAAAAAAATCAATAAAATAAGTAACATATTGGAAGAGCATGATGCAGTATATGATAATCCACAATTTTTCCAAACTGATCCTTTTAATTGTTTCCAGGTAAACTCTTTAGGAGTTTCTGGAATTACCACGAGATACACAATGCGGTTTATCACTGTATTGCATTGCCCTAAGCCATTTATATATTTTTTTTCTAGCGTTACCTTGAAATTTTTACATGTCTTATGAAGCTCAAAATCTGACATCAATGTCATATCTTCAAACACTAAGTTCGGATCTGCTTGGGTGTGTGTTGGTTCCTGTAAAATTTTAAAAACTATTATTTTTCAATTAGACAAAAAAATATTTTTTTAAAAATAATACAAAATATATTTTTCAGGTGGCAAATTAGCAACTAACTCAAATAGTAAAAGTACGAGCCTCTTATTTTAAAGAAAAAAAACTTAAAAAATAATACACGCTAACATTGTGAAATATTAACGATTTAAACTGTTGCACCTTACAATTGCTCTTACAGTGTAATGAATAACAGGGTGGCTTCTCAAACAAATAGAAAAATAAAATTCTCTGACTTTCCCAGGTTTATTTTAACTATTAATTGATGGATGTAGCAGCATGCCGAATAAGGTACAGATAGATTGTTATCGAGTACTATGCATTATGTTCAATTTTAAAAAGAAAAATCAAAAAATGAAGCAAATATCAAAAACAAAGAACTTTAAAATTCCCTGATGTTCAAAATTAATCAAGTTAACTTAAGATCTGAATTTAAGTTCCAAAAATCAATCCAATTTATAATACATTTGCATGTTTAAAAAAAAAAATTCAAATGATAAATAGAACATTGAATGAAAAAGAGCGATTAAATAATATAGCTTACCTTAAGAATGTCTTTGGACATAGATACAAGTTTATCGTTATTGTAAAAATGTCTCAATAACAGTGGGTGGTTAGCAGCCCTGCGCAGCTGCATCATCATACCAGAACCACTAGAAGAAATTTTCTGAGTATCATCCTCTTTATTTTTTTGAACCTGGAAAAAAAAATTATTCACCAAAAACTAAAAATAAAGATGTTTATTCCATAATTGAGGACAATTCATTTGTAAAAGCAACATATCAGTTTTTGATTCTAACTTTTGATAAACACTCATTGATCAGAAAGAAAATTTTTTAATTTTTTGCAATTAAACCTTTTTGAGAGGTTAGAATTTCTGGAACTGGATTATCAAAACTCATTTTCTTGATACGATTTTCCCCAGCTATACTTAAAGTTTCATTAGTAAGAGGAAAGTGCATTGAAATATAGAGTTTAAAGGGCACAAGAGTCAGAATCAGTTACAACCATGTCAAACATAAATAATGTTACTCGAGTTGATAGAAAGAAAGGCAGATGGAAAGATTATAGAGGCATCTTGGTCCACTCAAACTTACTAAAAAAGGCAAATTACCTGGATAGGAAGTAGATATGAGATAAAACCAATGGTACAATAAAAATCTTATAAAATGATTTACGGCTAAAACTTTTTTTAACGTTCAAGTAGTTCATTCTATTTACTAAAACAAACTAATTAGTTAGTCAGCAGAATTGGCTAGTAGATTATAAAAAGGAAAAGCAGTACAATTTCTTTTTTATTAATGATAAATGCATTAATTATGAATCAGGTTGACACAAGTATGTAAGAATATTTTCACTATTTTTAATGAAAGAAAAATTTATTCATATAAAAAGAAAAATGAAATTTGGCATAAGTAAATTTTGAAAATTTGATTGCACAAGAACATAAGTATACTTTCATAAGCTACTTTAGGGTTCCTACACTATTTTGAGAAAACAATATCCTGACTTTTGCAGGTTTTTCCTGACCTTTTACAATAAAATTCCTGACCCGCCGTTTCCCACTCCAACAAAACTTTTAACATTGCAATTTCAATTAGTATCATAGATTGAATAGGATAAACAATTATATATTAAAGTGGAATTGTGTAATAGCACTTTATATCCCAAATTATATTTTCAGAAAACTTGTGAAACATATTTTTAATTATCATGATTAGATTAAACTTTTAGTGTGTTTTTTGTAGTTAGATACGAAAACTATTTAAATAAAAAGATCAAAAAATTATGCAACTTGTGAAAAAAATAAAATCAAATATATCTTTTTTTTTAGTATTTTTAAATTTATTTCTGTAATACTGTAAGCTTCCGGAGAAACTCAGGGGCTCCTATGTTATATAATATTTCTCAACATATTTTGTTGTTTGACAATTTCTGAATCAAGAACATCCAGTTCTGTTGCAGCAGTTTTCGTCAATTTAGATTTTCTTAATTTCAAATCATCTATCTTTTCTTTTACTCGTTTTCTAGAAATTTCAGCCTTTTTATTCCTTCGTTTTTTTTGGGGGGGGGGCTTCTATTGCATGTCTCCATCTTGTTCTAGATCCTTTTACAGCATCTAGCATTTTTTCATCAATGTCTATGCTTTTTATTCCATTTATAAATGAAACATAATCATGCACACGCCTTTGTGAAATAATAGTCTTCATTGAGGTTTTCAACCAATAAGCCTTCATTGATAGAAAAACCCCCTTCGACTGTTGCGTTACCATGAGAGAGGATAAGAACAATTTTTATAACCTCCCACAAATTTTCACATTTTTTTTCTCCATGCAAATATTTAAAAAAAAAAATATTATCTCTATTGCTGTGGATTAAACTCTAAGAAACTCTTTTGCTCTTCTTTTTTTTTGGCAGCATCACAAAACAGTAAAAAATTCCTTTTTTGATTTTTCTGCTGTTGTTTCAGCTACTGTTGTCTGTAAACCAGTTATTCACACAAAGGGCAATAAACCTTGCAACCCTATCAAAAATTCCTTATCATTGGATAAACAGGAGAAAAATTGCTAACAGGACAGGTTCTACCAGGGAAAGAGGAATGTTATTATGAGGAAAATATTTTGAATTACAGAATTTTTCCTTGAAACTTTATTTTTGCCTCTCAGTCCTTGAATGAACATAGTTTTTTTTATTTTTCTAACTTTATGAATATGTAAGAAAAATCCTGACTTTATGAATATGTAAGAAAAATCCAGACTTTTTACCTTAATTTTAGAATAGCCTGACTTTTGCAGGTTTTCCTGACCGTGTAGGAACTCTGTACTTACATAAGAAAATTCAGTAATAATATTGAAATTATGTTAAATAAAAAATTTAATAAAAACTTTCATTTTCACTTTTCATTTTATTTACAGGATGTTATTTTTAGAACAATATCTATTAACTGACTTAATATTGAGTTACGGTAGTTCAAAGACTGTTAATCAACAAAAATACATAAAATTTTTTTTAGGACTAATTTTAACACAAACATAAAAACAAATCTTGATTAATGAAAAAAAAAAAGAAAGCAGAATCACTTTAACCTCTTGACTGCTAACGACATCACTGTATGCTTTAACAGGACCATTTATTTGAAATGTATTTATGAGTTTTATTTCTCTTTTTTTTCTTCAGAATTTAAATGATCAATAAATTATTTTAATGTCAGTTATTTTAATATAAATTTTGCAATTTATTTTTTCTCTCAATAAATTTTTGTATAACATTGAAAAAGAATCCAGGCATTTATAGTAGGCTCATTTAAAGTGAATTAATCAAAATAAAAAAAAATCATAGCTGTCATGTTGCAGATTTCCATTAAAATTTTTTGTAGAAAAGTTCTTGATAAAAAATGGCTATAACAATTTTTTCAGAATTTATGGACTAAAACTACAATTAGGGGGCCATTTTGAAATTTGATTCGATTTTTTTAAAAATAACGGAGAAACCGTTAGTCTATAACTTAAAAATATATAAAAAAAAGTCTATACCTTATTCATTTATAAGCCGATTTTTTTTCATTTTGGTGTCATCAGAATGAAAAAGTATATTATATCAATAGTTCAGAATTTTGATAAGTTAATTACATAGTGCTGACTTTTTCCTCTCTAATGCAGACACCAAAATTAAGAAAATTGGCTCATAAATAAAAAGATAACACATTTTTAACATATGAGCCACCATCTAGAATTATGCCATTTTTCGTAAATCAGGGATGAGATTAGCCAAAAGGCAAAAAAGCTGAATTTCCGCAATAGTAAATTTTACGCAAGCGCAACCCTTTAATAATAAATTTCAGACAGTTTAAGGTGATAAATAATGTGTTGACATACAATTGGTACTAATCTANTTTAATGCAAAAAGTTTTTTAAAAAATTATTTTGCGTTTTTCATAGAGACAAAAAAAATTTCATGAACATTTGTCACATGACTACAGCAGCCATTTGGAATGAGGCCATAATTTTTAAATAGACTTAGAATACACTACTTACTTCAGCTGAAAATTTCTTAATGAGATCATTGTATTTCTTTTCTTGATCATCAACCATTATACAAAAACGAATTTCATCATGCTTTGCTGGGAGATCTTTAAGGACCTACATGATAAATTCATCATTTAAAACAATTGAATAGACAATATAACAAGCATTGTCTTAATCAGGTCTGTACAACCAATGGCCACAGATCTAAAAATGGCAATCAAGGACTTTTCACTCGGCCTCTGCACTATCTTAAAAATTTATAAAGATATGAAAGAGAGAATGTATCAGAAATGTTTTACTCTTCCAGTGGTTTACTATTTTAACTAAAGTTTTCTCATAATATGGGAATTTTACCACTTCATTATGCAAGTTTTGTTTATGGTGAAAACATGGTTATGGTTAACAATGTGAAAAGCACTCTTTTGCATAATATGTGTTTTGCAAAAATCAACGTGGTACAAAAAAAAAGTCATTTTCAAAAAGGAAAAATTAAGCCCTTTTTTAAAAACACCCAATGAAAAAAGCACCTTTAATGGCTTCTAAAAAGGAAAATAGAAAATAAACACCTTTAAGTTCTTTTTAAGAATGCTATGCACCATGTAAGAGAAATACTTAAAGGAGAAGAAAGTTATTTTGAATATGGCTAATCGAAAAGATTAGCAAAAGCTGTCATTGTCCCACTTTGCCTTAACAACTACAAAAAAGGAAAAATTTCAGAAGAAATACCTCCACATAAACTAGAATATTCTCTTCACTATAAAACAATACTAGTTTAATTTGCACCCAGTAACACAGATATTGATTTCAAACCACAGAAAATAAAATGCAATATTACTTGCTGATTTTGAGTCATTTTTAAGCAAAAAACTAAATTTGTGATCTAGAGCAGTCGTGCGCAAACTTTTTTCGACTGCGACCCCTTTTGTAGAGAGAAAATTTTTGGCGACCCCTAGAGATAAATGTACACAAATACGNAAGCCTTTGATCTGAACCAATATACACAAAAAAATTAACATTTAATAAACAATGATTTAACAATAAAACACACCTCTTTTTTTAAACGACGAAGAACAAAAGGTTTCATAATTCGTTTAGCATGATCAATTCGTTCTTTCTCATAAGAATTTTTGCTACCTTCTGTTTTCTGAAAATGAAAGGAAACATATATTGATTATAAAACATAAAGCATTCAAAATTAATATAATTCTATAAAATCAGAGTAACTTACTGAAACAGCAGAGAACATTTGCTTTATTTGTTCGGTTTTCCCAGAAAACATATGTGGCATAGCAAATATTAAAAGAGACATCAATTCAACTAAGTTGTTTTGCAATGGAGTTCCAGTCAACAGTAGACGTCTGGGAGCCTGTATACAAATAAAAACAATTAATACCTTTTAAAAATGAAGAAAAACTTAACTTGCTATTAAAGCAAGAACTAGAAACAAACCATGTCTCAAATGGTTTGAAAATACAGAAGAAAACAAAGTTAATACACATGAGGTGTGTAAAAATATAGAAAATGTTTAAAAAAAAGTAAAAAATTGATACAAACTCTTATACGCATTAGATGTTGGTATCGCTGAGAAGACATGTTTTTCAGCATGTGCGCTTCATCAAATACTACATAGAGAAATTCTAATCTTTTAAAGAAACTCCTGTCCTCTGCATTACTGGTAACCATGCTATAACTGTAATAGAAAGATCAAATGTGGCTTACTTAGTCATGAAGTAATACCAAAGACATTGAATATACTGCACATTCACAGGGTTTTAATAACCAATAGACAGAAACAAAATACAATGCCATATTTTTTGTTTGTAACTGACATTAATACACCTTATTATTCATTATTATTTAATTCCTAATTTTGAATTATAAAAGATATTAAATTCCTGTTTTTATAGTTGTCTTAATTAAGGTACTGGAAAGGCAGATCAGCTCAGAATAATTCAGAGCATACTGCCAGGTTTCAGCTTCACCAGATAAAATATAGCTTATAGCTTAGATAAAATATAGCTTAAATATAAACAGGACACACCACTGTTTTTGATCCTTAATACTTTCATTAATTAAAGCTGATAACTATTATATCTATCCTTTCATAGATGATTTGAAGCAGCTAGAAGCTCTGTAATCTCTTACTCATAAAAGTCCCATAAAACAACTCATTTTACAAATTATTTTATTTCTTATCCTATTACATATTCTATGATGTCAGAAAATAGGCAATTTTATCTGAGCATAAGAAAAGCACAGATACTCTAGCAGGGTGCATAGCCACACTTTTCAAAAAAAAAAAAAATAAGCACCTTTTAAGCACTCAAAAAATATTTTTAATCACTTTCCAACAAAAAAATATACATCATAATTAGGATCTGTGCAGTTCTAAAAATTTTTTTTCCTATCGTTTAAAGTTCTTCATTTATGAACATAAAATCAATAAAATTCAAAAACATTTTCACAAATGTCACATAATCATGATAAAATAACTAGTTTATAATAAATATTACCGACAAAATTGTGAAAATCATGCATTTTTGCAATTTAGAATGACAATCAACATGGCAAAGAAAAAAAAATTACTTTTTAAAGAGATAGAAAATTAAGCACTTTTTACAAACCCTGAATAAAAAAAAAAGCATTCTTAAGGGCTATTAAAAAAATAATGTAAATAAAAAATAAGCACTTTTTAAAAATGCTACGCACCCTGTCAAGCCAAACAGCATAAAACAAATGGTCAGTAATGCTAATTGAAATATTCAAGAAAGTATGTTTCGTGAATTAATCATAAAAACAAATTCAAAATCTTCCATAATTAGAAGGGCAAAAGTTGTAGTAAACGAAATTCCACATTGTAGTAAATAAATTTGCTGGAATATACTTACGTAGTTATCATGACGTCAAATTCTTCAACTTCATCATTGAGGATTTGTATGCGCAATTCACGCCTACTCTCCTGACTACCATGATAACAAATGACTGAAACAGTGGGCCACCAAGTCTTCAATTCTTGCTTCCAATTATCTGAAAAAAAGTTTTTCAAACTGCATCATTTACTCAAAAATGATGAAGAGTGTAGAGTGTATCAAAAAAAAAAATTATCAATCACTCAAAATTGTAATTCACAAATCTAGGCCTGAATATTTTTTTATAATTATTTTTCCATTAACAAAATTTATAGCTCTCAAAAAACATCAAAGAGTTTCCAATTGCTATAAAGAAACCAGGGCTCGTACTAAGGACTCCAAATTATAAGCCGTAAAGTATCCAAATATCAAAAGTGTTAGTCAAATTTCAAAAGTCATAGCCAAAGGCCAACTTTAACAAATTTTAGTGATTAATTTTTTTCCCCATAGAAAACTTCAAACACAAATTTACTATAAATCGAACTATTTAAAAAATGCAAATTGAAATCAAAACTCATTTTACAGTTGAGGAGGAGTAAATGAAAAGAGTATGTAGATGTTTTACAGTCTTTGAGGAAGAGAAATAATAGATTGAGGTTAAATTTTGATAACTACTTAGACTAGAGCAAGATAAACCTGAAGCAACATTTGAAGTTTTTTTAAGATTCCAAGTATCTTTTAAATAAACATATTTTATTTTAAATAATAAGTTTCATTCTTTGAGTCTTTTACTTTTAATATAAGAATTTTTACTGTCTCGCTAATTATTCAGAAAAAAGGAAGATAAGTTATTTGAATAATTTAATTCAGCTTTATTGGTTTTTATACTACGCATTGAGATTGTTAACAATATTTGGACGGGGGTTTAACACCCTCATTGCCAGTTGAGTGCATGTGCTTCTCAAAATTTTACTCCAAATTAGTAAAGTCCTTTTGACTTTTTTTTTGTTCTTTTAGATTTTTATGACAATCAAATAATTAATTATTTAACAAGAACAGGCTAAATATCATTAAAAGCAAATATCAATGGATTTTTACTAAGAAATAACTTTAAAAATATTTTAAAGAGACATGGATTGTTTTTATTCAAACAATAATTTCTAATTTTCTTTATTATTTTTCAAGATTTTTTAAGAAGACTTTATTTTCTCACCTACAGGTGATATTAAGTATTCCATTCACTATGAGTTTAACTTCTAAAATGTTTTATGTGATAAGTGTCTGACAATGAAAAAACTAATATAGCTTCACTTGAAAATCATTAGTTTTACATTCCGATAGATAATGATACATTATTAACATATTACTTAACTTCAGATCATTGAAAAAAAAAATTGGTTAACTTTATTAGAACATGTTTAAGCTAGGGTAGGGGTGCACTATGTTTTTTAGTGAAGGGCCACTTGCATAGCAGGTTGAGAAGAGCCGCACACATATTTAGTCATGTTGGTCACAAATACGATAATTTTTATCTTAAAATTGGTGTTCTGAACAACAAATACATTTATCAGTAAACATAGTAACATAAACTCCAAAAATTAAATACTTTTAATTATTAATATATACATTCAATATTTTTTTTTTTTGCCTTGTAATTGATAATAGATTTATTTATCCATCTATCTACGTAAACATACATATATTTGAGGAAAAGAGATACTAAAAACTTAAACAAACAAAAAAAAAAAAAAACTATAATGCTTGTAGAATAAATGAGTAAGAAAAAAAATACAAACATATTTTAATTAGTAATTTAAATTATATACCTGGCAACTTTTACGCATTTGGCGTAAAATTTTATTTTTATATTAAAAGTGGTAGTAAATATATACTATATTTTCATTTATAAACTTTATTCTTAAATGATTTTGATCACCACTATTCTTAAAAAACTTAAGCATATATATTAATATGCGTTGATATCATGGTTGTCAGCTGATGTTTCTTCAAATACAGCTTATTTTTCTGCTTACAATCGAAATTTTAATTCCATGTTACTAACACAGGGAAAAATCATAATGGAAGGGATTAAAGGTTGGCAGGTATGAAATTAGAACTAAATACTTTAATTTAAGAAAATTTATAGGGTTTAAACAAAAACCAAAAATTAAAACTAAACTATTATAGTACATATTAATTTTAATATTCAATATTTTGTGAAGAGAAATTCAAAATAATCACTTTTTTTTCCATAAATATTTAATAATTTTCAATAATTTTAATACTTTTTTTCAATAAATATTTATCTTCTTCAATAAAAATATAAAATATATATATATATATATGTTCAAAAAAAATATATTTATTGTACTTAGAATCTCTTGTGGGTTGCACATCAACAGCAGACGGGACCCAAGATGTGCATTACACTTATATTTTAAAATTTCATCAATTTAATGAAATATCAAGTAATAGATTCAAAACTTTTATAAATAAAACAATGATTACCAAGAGTTGAAGAGGGAACAACAATCAAGTGGGGTCCAGACATGCCAATTTGTTTCAAATAAGCCAAAAAAGAGATAGCTTGCACAGTCTTTCCCAAACCCATCTCATCAGCCAGGATGCCATTCACCTCTTGATTATGTAGAAGCAGCAACCAGTTTAGGCCCAGCATTTGATAGGGAGCTAGGTGCATGCTTAAAATATAGATATAAATTATGTATACTTTGTGTAAGTTTATACACAATTTGAAGTTTTAAAATAAAGAAAAAATCTGGTAAATAAATCCTTATCCATAGCTGCCAACTTGTCAAAAACAAAAAATAGGAACACAAAACGTGATCAGCCATTTGACACCAAGTGAAAAACAAAATATCCGTATAGTTATAAACCATACACATTTCATATTTAACATAATTTTGTGAGCTAACAGTTTTAATTAAATTACTTACTAATGAAGAATATCACATCTTAAAAGTAACTGATTTTAAAAAAAACATAATTCTTTCAAGAATTCGATGTCGGATTTTAAAAGCGTGTGAATATGAATCGCGATATTGGGTTTTAAAATAGCTTAAATACAAATTGCGATACTGGATTTTTAAAATGCGTGAATGAGAACTGAGATGCACGATTTTTAAATCACATAAAAATTAATAGCAACACATAACTTTTAAATCAGTTAAATACAAAAATCGATGATTGATATTAAAATTGTCTGCATAAGAACCGCGATATTAGCAGATTCTGGTGCAGTTCCTAATATTTAAAATTCCAAAAACCAGCTAAACCAAAGAAATCAAATTGGCGGTAGAATCACATCTATGTAAATGTTCAGTTAAAGAGATTTAGCATAAGTTTCAAAATTTTGGCAGATTATAAGCTTTCGATTCGTGGAAATCAGCAAACTCTGCAATACTTGAGGAAAAATCACGTGCCTAGCTTCTAGTTTTTAAGACTCGAATTAAGGAGTGAAGAGATGCTGGAATGTGAAAAAATCGCAACATTTTGACCTAAAATCGTAATTTCGGAACAATGTTAAAAAATTGGAAGAAATACAATTTAATCAGAACAGTTGGCAACTATGCCTTATCATTCAATCATCAACTACTAACTATAAATTCACAATAAACCAAACCACACATTACAAAAAAAAAGGTAAACAAAGCTTACTTGTCATTCAACAAATCAGGCTGCTTGTCGACATAATCTGTTGAACTTTCTCTATTTTCTTTCAAACTTTCCACAAGATCTTCCATGTCCAATGATATTTGTTGACATTTTGCCATCAATTTACTTATGGCATTCCTCATATCTAAAACTTTCTTCGCTCCATTCAGCAAATCAGGAGATAGCGCTTTATCATTACTAAGTTTCTGAACCTGAAATTTCACAGATTAAATGAATTATTAATTCCTTATTCTCCAATATCGGATTCATTGGAGAAATTGTAACTTAAAAATTCTTAAAAAGAAACATCAGATTTGAAATAAAAGACACAAACATTTTCGTGACCAGTAGACATCCTTGCTACACCCTGTTATTCAGGTTTGTTTCTACAAGTCATAAACAAAAGGTTAATCACTAATGTTATAAATCATTGTATGGGTAGAAGAGTTTATTAGAAAATTAAATTCATATATGCTTACTTTTCCTCTTTTGGTGTACATAGTACCTTACAAAAAAATATATTATGGGACATATTCTTGAATTTTGCATGGGCGGGGGGGGNGGGGGGGGGGGGGGGGGAGCACAAATTATTTCCCTCTTTGCATTTTGTAAATAATCACAATAAAAAAAAATAATTAACAATTATGAAATCTGCAGTAGTAATTGCTCAAAAATGATCGGCGACGAAATCCTGCGAATGGAACTCTTCAAATGCGTGTTTCGCTTCGAGATTAGGTTTCTGTAATAAAAATATCAGATTAAAAATGTCGCATTAAAAATATCAGATTTAAAAACTATGGAGAAATCAATAGCAATAGCCAAAAATTGGATAGAATTATTGCTTTTAAAGGTAAATAGTCAAATGCATGNAGTAAATTTTATGCGTGTGCAATCGTTTAATAATAAATTCCTGACAATTTAAGATAACAAACAACAAAAATTGCTATTTTAGTTTGAAAAAATTACATGATAATCAGAAACTGTTTAGATAATTATTTTTCATATGATAAAAATTTCGCATTTTATACCATAAATAACAGCAGCATTATTTTATTAATGTTGGATTTTGGTGCTGAGTTAATAAACTTTTTTTCCACAAAAAATTGAATAACTTTTTAAGTGATTGCTTCTGTTTGCTATATCTTTTTTTTAAAATTTTTGTTTAATTTGCTGTAAATGCTTAATGTTTTACAAAACAAGCAAAAAAAAATCCTTACGAAGGTGAAATTGCTCGTAATGCAGCTTATGAATGAGGGGAAACAGATTGGTGATTAATTTAGTCATTAGCCCATTTTCAAACATTTTTTGACAAATCCTATTTTTTCTTTCTTTACCTGCCTTTGTCACATTCTTCTTAGCCAGCACAGAATGTAAGTTTTGAATATGCCTACATACCATAATAATTGTTGATAGAAAAACAGTCACATTTATAGTGACTAATTAAAGAAAAACTTACTTCTTACAAGAATCGTGACAATTGATTTTATTCGCGATAATCGCTTGACTACAAATAGCGATCTTGGATTTTAAAATGGTATGAATATGAATCACGATAATGGATTTAAAAACCACATGAATATGGAACTCGATATTCGATTTCAAAAATGAAAAACTGTAAACTGCGCTAATCGCGCTTTTAAATTGAGTAGATACAAATCACATGCATAATTTTTAGACCGTGTCAATGCGAATCCCAATGTCTTATTTTAAAATCACGCATAAATGCGAAAATCAATGTTTGATATTATAACCGCATGAACAAATCATGACATTGAATTTTAAACTCGCGTGAATATGAATCACTACATAGATTTTTTTAAAACGTGCAAATACAAATTGTAGTATTGGATTTTTAAATCTCCTAAATAAGAATCGAAATGTTAACTAATTCAGAACTTGTAAAAGACTCAGTTGAAGCAGAGATGTCTGATTTACGAAAATACGAACTATCTGGCGGGTGGGTAAAAATGCGGAAAATCTTATCTTCTCCACGTAAAAGCGGTGAAAATAGCTAAAATAAGGAAACATGTGGAAGGATTGGCAGCTATGTAGTTTGAATTTTCTGTTTATATTTAAAAATCGGAAATAAATATAATTATATTATTTCAACGGCTGAATTTTTCGAAAAAGAATTTTTTTAATGTTTATAAAAAAAGAAACAACTGAAACTTAGAGATAATCGAAGTTTTTGATAAAAAGGCTGAAATTCGAGGGAAAAAAGTAAAAAAAGCGGAAATCCGCTAAAAAGCAGAAAAATCTCATCCCTGATATATGTATACTTTTCCTCTTTTGGTGTACATAGTACCTTACAAAAAAAAATATTATGGGACATATTCTTGAATTTTGCATGGGCGGGGGGGGGGGNATTATTTCCCTCTTTGCATTTTGTAAATAATCACAATAAAAAAAAATAATTAACAATTATGAAATCTGCAGTAGTAATTGCTCAAAAATGATCGGCGACGAAATCCTGCGAATGGAACTCTTCAAATGCGTGTTTCGCTTCGAGATTAGGTTTTTGTAATAAAAATATCAGATTAAAAATGTCGCATTAAAAATATCAGATTTAAAAACTATGGAGAAATCAATAGCAATAGCCAAAAATTGGATAGAATTATTGCTTTTAAAGGTAAATAGTCAAATGCATGATTTAAATTTTCTATATTGTTTGAAATATATCGGAATATTTAAAAACCATCTGAAAATGAATATCGATTAACTGTTGAAAATACAAGAGCAACATTACATCAACCTACCATACTATCAGCGTAAATTTAGCATGTCAAAAAGTGACTATCGAAATGCATGATTCGAATCTTACGTGTAAATTTCTGTAGAAAAGAGAAGTAAAAATTTTGTTTTTCAAAGGAAAAATCTTTCTGCAAGAACTCTAACGTTCTGTGACTATGACGACGTGATTCTGCCATGGGGTGCACAATTGGTGAATGGTCCCCAAGTTCAAAATATCAATTTTAAAATTGTTCAGTTTCTGATGGAAATCAAGCAATAAAAAAAGTATAATTCCAAGGATCTGCAGAAATAGGTCATGTGTTTAAATAATAATTATTAATTTCATTAAATAATTGCTAATTTTATTTAACTTACCAAGTCTAACCAATTGGTGAAAGGTTTCAAATTCAAAATTGCATCCACTTTCTTTTTACTACAACCTGGAATAGAAGATAGCTCATCAAAAGAAGCCTCCTGAAAAAACCTCAAAACGGCAGCATGTGCTGCCGTAAGATTGCATTCTATGTCACTATCCTCGCTATCGTACACATCTTCATTGCCATAATCATCGTCCTCATCATCAGACACAACGTATTTCTTGTGTCTCACTTTCGAATGCTTCGATTTCATACCTGATGAGCTTTTACCCTGCAAAGCCACCATTTTTACATCAGAAGAGCTTTTATTTAATGAAGAAGTGCTTTCTTTGTTAGTAGCAGGCAAAGAAACCACAGAACCGACTGGATGGACAGTATAACCGACACTGGGTTTAGCATTACTTGTACCATTACTGGGCGATTGAATTCTCACTAACTGTGCCGATTTATTTGGACTAACAGATGAATTAGACAAGCTATTGGATTTAATTGTAATAATCTCAGCTTTTGAATTTTTCATAGTAATGCTAGCAGAGTTTGTGTTTGTAGTAGAGGTATCGACATCAGAGACTAGCTTTGTAGTTGATGAACCTAACTGAGTGATTACAAGTCCTTTAGGGAGATTTGGTAAATTGTTTGCAGGTGAGGCCGGCTTAGTCTCTTCGGAATTGTTTGATGAATTAGATATGGGTTTAATAGTTAATGATGAAGAGCTAGAGAAAGTCTGTTCACCATTATTCACACTAGAAGAAACTCTTGAATTAACATGATCTGATAAAGACGAAGTCTGATTTGAACTACAAGAGCTCTCTTCATCACTCTCACTGGACGAAACGACTTTACGAACACGTTTAGCAGGTGGGGCTCCTTCTGCTTTAAGCTGTCTTTTATTGTTATTCATTTGTTTGATAGACTCGTTAAATTCTTCATCGCTGCTGTCGAGCACAATTTCTTCGGCTACATTAGATGCCATATCTGTATTCAAATTTGAAGGTTGAATGTTATTTGATTCAGAGTTTTGAGGCAAATCTACGCTTTCTATTGAGTTAGAGCTAGATTGTGAAAGAGCTTTCTTCTTAGAGCAACGAAGAGGTTGGGCATGTGCAATCTTTACTGCTTCGTCTAGATTCCAGTTGCACTTCACCAAAATGTCTTGTGCCTCCTAGAAAAGGAAAAAAAAGAACATTAGATGAGAAAATATTCATAGTTGACAAGGTTTACGACAGAATGGATTAATCCACGGTTTAAACTGTCCTGTCCAAAACCTATTCACTTAAATTATGCCATAATTTAAAAAAAATATTGTAAAAAAATAATAAAAAATTTAATTTTTGAACAAAAAACAAAATGAAGACAATTTTTTGTTTTATTAAAAAAGTTTATTATTATTTTTAATATTTCATTTATTTATCCTTATGCAAAAACATAAGTTATCAGAATTAAAAGCATATTTATTCATATTTAAGGGATAAGGTATTCACTTTTGTTGTTCAATGAATTGTGTAGCTCAAAAAGTTTAATCTTTTCCTATTATATTATTTTTCTTTAATAAATTAAAGCAAATTGTAAAAAAAAGTATAAAATATTTATTAATATTATTATGTGTAGAATGGTTACACACAGAGCCGGATTATACCTTTCGTAGGCCCTAGGCATAGCCGTTTTTGGGCATAGCCTTCCCCTCTTTTCAAAATATATGCTAAAATTTTCTTGCATATTTTTTTTTTTTACATTTTTATTAATATGGATTTTAATTTACAAATTTGTTTATCGAACTTTATCTGCAATACCGACATACTGCCGATATTGCAGTTGATATCGATAATACCATTATGATTAGTTCGATCGATAACTATGTAAACACTTCACGTCAACAATACAACAACAAACCAGCAAAGAAAACAGTGAAATTGATAGTGAGATTAATTACAAGAAATATTTATACAGTAGAGAACCAATTATCTGGGATGCTCGGGACCATCGCTATCCCGGATGTCTGAATTTCCCAGTTTTCTGGATCGACCAAAAAGTGTCGTTAATCGATGTTTTATCGAACCCGAATTACAAGGAAAAAGTGTAATGCATAAAGTAAGAGAAAAAAGAAAGGTACTCCTAACTTTAAAGAGAAAAAAAAAAGGTAGAAATATATCACTTAAAAGATAAACTTGTGAATACTTTTCCTCACATTGCATTAAGAATATATTTGTCGATTTTTGGTCAAATGCAGAAGGAGAAAGATCTTTCTCCAGATTAAAATTGATAAAAAATTATTTGCGTTCAACAATGAATCAAGATTGTTTGGCATAGCTCGCACTTGATGTCTATTGGATATGACATTTTGCGTAGTTTGGAATTCGACAGCATAATACAAGATTTCGTTGAATCCAAAAATCGCAAAAAGTAATATATTAGATCATAAGATTCTGCAAAATAATTTATTACCAAAAAATATTATATTTTTATTTGCATCTTCATAATTTTGAGCAAAATACACTTGTTGTTTTCAAAGTCAAATTATTTTTGTCAACAAATTTTTTTATCCCAAGTTTTTCGTATGCCCCTGAATTTCGTAGGCCCTAGGAACGTGCCTATAGGTTAATCCGGCCCTGGTTACACATAAAGAATTTTTACCTTTAACCAATGTTCAAGGTTTTGGACACTTTAGGAAAGTTTTAGTCAGTTTAGGACAGTTTAAAATTCAAATGCCCTGCTCCAAAACCAGTTTATGACATGCAAAACCTCAAAATGACTAAATTGAATAAAACTGACTGGGTGCAAAATTTAAAAAAAAAAAAATTGTTTTGCACTGAAAATCTTAATTCTATATTTAAATTTTTTTTTATTAACGATGCATATATAAATAAAATATAGCGTTTATATAGAGAATATAGTTCAAACTTGTTAACATTAATATGCTAAACAGGGTTTTACATTAATGTCTAGTAACTACCCTTAATTAAGTAACTACCCTAACCCTTAAACATCTAATAAATACATCAATTTTCCGTACTTATTATGGGAACACATTTAAAGAGAAATATCTTTCAAGATAATGTCAACTTTGATAACTCTTCGGAAAAATTTTTACTTTTACCATAACAAAAAATTTTATTGAGGTTTTAAAGTCATAGAAACTGGCAGCACAAAACTATTTTATATCATATCGTTATATTTTACGTAATTATATTTTTATATGATACTACTGCATTTTTAAAAGAGTTTTTGATAGTTATTATCTCTTTTAACGTTTAATGGATTAAAAGAAAAAAATTGATTTTTTTTATGGATAAATTTTTTTTAGAGTTAAGACAAAAAAAATTTCTATTCCTTTTTTTTAACTTTACAACCATTGTCTTTTTCTAATACCTGCTAGTCAGTTCTTTATATATCTTAAATATATCTAACTAACTTAATGTCTAATTATCTTAAAAAATTTTATAAAAACTTTTTCCCTTTGCCCAATACCAATAATAAGCTAAGTTTTAATAATTTTTTAATATTGACTATTAGTCATTTATACATAAAAAAAATAATATTTATGAATGATTATTTATTCTTTAGAGGAAATTTTTTTTGCTATTCGGCTGCCAAATATTTGGCCGTAAATTGGGCATTTACCTAAATCACTATTCGTTACACCCTTAATAAATACTTTAAACTATCTCTATCAAACACTACTTAAACTAGAAAATTATGCATCCAGATAACTTTTTTGCCTTTCAGATATTTATTTTGTTCTATTTGGTTATTGAAATCACTGCATTAATACTTTATCAAAAACGGATCATTCTTCTAAATAAATAATTTGCTTTTTCCCTTATTACCATTTATCCAAAAAGCGGAAAATCACGAATCTGTCATAGATCCCCCCTGCCCTGTTACTAAGTGCTTCATTACTAGCCTAAGGGAAAATTTGAGTATTATAGATTACAGTAATTTCAAGATTAATTTTATAATATCTAACGACAACAAAAAACTACATTTCCAACAAACATTAAAGTACTGGGTGCGAAGTAAAGAAACTTAGTTATTAACACTTGCTGCTTTTGCATTGAACTCTAATATAGAAATTCTATGACACAACAAACAATGATGTAAACGAGCCTCACTTTCTAATAAGGGTTGTCACTCAAATCTGGTGAAAAAAATTCCCTGTGTTTTCCCTATATATTATACACAAAATATTGAGAGGATACACAATTACTGCACTCTTGTATGAGCTAAGTTAGAGTAACTATGCTTTTAATTGCTGGAAAAACTTAAGAGAAAAAAAGGAACAGCTGAACATACTTATATAATGGTATATTAAAGGAAAATGACACATTCAGTAGTCACAATTTTTTAAAAGACAAAAATAAGAAATAAAATTCCCTGTATTTTCCCAGTATTAATAAAATTCCCTGTATTTTCCAGTTTGTAAAGAAAAAAATCAAAATTCCCTGCATTTCCCCTGTTATTTTAGGTGATTTTTAAATTCCCTGTATTTTTCAGGTTTTCCCTATTCTTCCTGTGGAGAGGCAACCCTGCTAATGTACCCTCATAAAACTTAAATGGAATGAAAAAATGTTCTAAATACCATAATATCAGCTCCAGGAAATGCATCAAGTAACTTTCTTAGATTAAGTTCCTTTTCACAAAAAACTTCATATTCATCCATAATTCCTTTAGTCGGTGATACTCTATTTTCAATAATAGTGCTTGATACACTTTCTTGCACAGGTTCTGGAGTCTGGGGACAAGAAGCTTTAGAAGTTCTACTATAAGTCCTTAACGGTTTTGTATTATTTGTGTCGGGAGACGACGGCACAGTAGAGTTTACTGCACTTTCTGCAGTGTTGCAATTTATTACAACTCTGATATGTTTTGCCAATTCAGATATATAGCTCCGGTTTACTTTCAGCTCACGAAAACCACACGTAATGTAACTAGTCGTTTCTATTACATTCGATTTCCACTTTTCTCCCAGTGATCCTTCCTTCAAAACAAGCTCTTTTAATTTTGAATATTCTTCTTCTGTCAAATTAAGGGGTAAATCTATAACAGCAGCTTGGTTTTTCTTACAAGCTTGCTGTATTTTGGTAAGAACACAAGGCAAAATGAATTGTGAAGTGTGAGATATTTCATACTTTCGGTAACTTAGTGGGCTATAATTAACTGCAGTGGCAGCTGAATGCGAACTGTAACAAAAAAGCACAAAATTAATAATTTTTAACAGATAATAAACAGTCTAATAGCACCTATTATTTAAAATATAATTTTTTTTTACAGAAGAAATGTGTCAAAAATAGTAGCAGACTTTTAAAATTAGAAAATTAAGAAATTAATGTGTTTATGCCACTATATATTTTCTGGTGTAAAAGTCACTTGCCGATTATGGTCAAAAATGCTTTAATTACAATTCAAAACATCCAATTAAAAAAAAATTAAACATTTGGCTGTAAATATTTAACCTTGGGTAAAAATTATTGAGCTTTACAGAAAAACCATTAACAACTTCGGATTCATTACCGCTGTTCCTGCTTTGGAGAGAATGTCAAAATACAACATTTCTGAGCAAATATCTATTGTCAATCTTTATCTCAATCCCTCTTACTTGTGGGACAGTACTAAAGTTGATGAAAATAACCCCAAAACCATCATTATACTCAAAATTCACAAGACATGTTTTTTTCCCATCATTTCTCCCAGCTAAATAATTTTGTACATTTTTTACAATTTTTTAGCATATTTCCTATACTGTAACCCAAATAATAGACTATCATTATGAAATATAATAAAAATTTTGTAATTACGAAGAATAAAAGTGGATATTTGTAGCTAAATTTTAAGGATTTTTAATTTATCGTCTCAAATTTGCAACAAGGAATAAATATTGAAATTTTGCTGCTTTATTGATCATTTCTCTCACTGTGAATCAGAGAATAAAGAGAGAGAGAGAGAAAACTTGAAAAGAAGTATACATGTGTGGTTACAAAGGGTGACAAGCATTATAAGCAGGAAGGAGAACCCCAATGTTTTTAAAATAAGTTTAAAGGAAATTAAAATATGCTGGGTTATTAAATAAAATGTAGATAAAAGTTAGCAAGCTAAATTAGTGAGATGATCTAAAACCAGTGCAAGCATCAGGGATTAAAAGATAGAGCCCCGAGTTAATAAAATATATATTATTATATAATGAGCTTAATTGAAAATTTTATATTACAAAATTGTCCAGATTGATGTTTCTTTCGTGAGTTTTCCTTTCCATAGCCTTTTTGATTTCTACAGTTTAATCTAATTGACAGTTTAAATCCTGATAAAAAGACAACTCTAAATCAAAATCAGTAACATAAAACTAAATATCTGATGCAAAAAATAAGAGACAAGAGAAGGAAAGATCACTACGGTTTGTGAGACCTGCTTACCCGTACAAAGTAAACCCTCAAAGAGGCTTAGATTTTGTCTGAGATTTTTGCAGATTAATCTAGTTAACCATTTAAACAGTTTTTGATACTTCTCAAGTCAAAAACCCTCTTATGATAACCAGAAGACAATACTGAATACAAAGTCAAACAACAAATTTAGTCTGATGCAAAAATAAGAGACAAAAAAGGAATACTACAATGAGTTGAGAACCCATCAAAATACAAGATAATGTGCGCCCTAAGTGCTTTTAGAGAGGCAGTTCACACTGATTAAGGGTTGGGTTTTTGCCGTCAAAAACTGGTTTTTGACATGACAGAGGTAAAAACCGTGTTTTTACCGGTAAAAACTGTCAAAAACCCTACTGTTTTCTATAATTTATGGCATATATTGGACAATATATTATTTTCACATAATTGCCTTTATAAATGAATGTTGTAAATGATTGCTATTGATTTTGCAACTATATACATGTATTCTTATAGAAGGATATACATTCATATAGAAATATTGTAATATACTTATTGAAAATAGTGATACATACTTTTATCATTATAGCTTGAATTGCAAAGGATTCAAAATTTTGCACTTCTTAATTGTTAGAAATTAATAAACAAACAAAAAAGTTTGCAACTATTAATAAATTCAAGAACTAAAAAAAAGAATTTCAAATTTGCCATTTCTTAAATATTAGAAATAAGCTAAACAAAACTTGTAACTACTAACAAACTCTAAGTTAAGAATGACTTGACATTCTTCAGTAATGTTATATGGCAAACAAAATGATGCTTGGAAATGATGAAAATTTTGTTTAGTATCCTAATATTTTACTTCAAATAGTATGTTTTGATAAATTATGTTGGGAAAATGCAAGAATTTGTTCTTAAATATCTTTTGACAACTTTTTTTCTAATTTTATTGCCCAAAAATGAATTAATTTTAATTATAAGCAGTTAAACTCAAATAAAAATACAGTTTTACCAAAACTATGGGTTCTTGATAGAGGAGTTTTTTACACGACGGTAAAAACCGTCATGTGTCAAAAACTTGCCAACCATGCACTGATTGCTCTTGATCCCCATAAATGCACCCTCTTAGTCCTTTTTGCAAAAATAAGCCGCTCATCCCTTACTGCTTTTATATTCATATGCTATTTTTTTTTTTTTAAATTCACTGTTAAATAATAATTACAAACTGATAAAATAGGTATAATTTTGATAACTATTACACACATTTACTTTGTTAGAATTATTCTCAACTCATAAAATTTTTTAAATGGTTTTCAAAAAAAATGAAACTTTAAATGTGTATTATCTCATAATTTTTAGTTTAAATGATATAAAAATCTTTCCAGTTGTTTATCAATCAATAATTTTCTTTAGTTTACTTTTTTTGAAAAAACATTTATGCCTAGAGATTATCTATTAACATGCCTATTATTTTTATAAACTACAAATTTTTCTCTTATTCTGATGAGTGAGAATCATTTTTTGAAATATACACATTAAAATAAGTATAAGAGGGTAATTTAAAAATTGTTGAAGTTAAAATTCAGTTATTGCATTATGTTACAGATTTTGATAAGTTTTTACAGTGTTGAGTGAGTGCTATTTTAAATCTTAGTGCCCTTTTTTGAGAGCTAGCACCCTGCTCTTTTTTATTCCCAGGGAGAACTCTGTACAATACTTACATCATTATTTTCTTGGTTAAAAATATTTGTTGATTCCATTTTGTCCGGTTTTTATATTCATTCAGAATACAGCATTAACATTTTTTTTATAACTTTATTTACAGTTTTCTGTTAAGAAAAAAAGATATGAGCTGTTACATTTTTTATTACATTGATAAAGCAATCAAAAACCAGGATGCTGTATGCAACCCTTAATGAGTAAATTACCAGGAGTGATTGCGACACAAAGTGTAAAACCCTGAAAATTTTATGTGCAAAAATTCGATAACAAGATATTAATTTATGTATTTAAAATAATTTTTGGAACTAAAATTGATAATTAAATTACCTGCCACTAAAGAATATCGCACAAGAATCATGATATTGGATTTTAAGAGCGCAGAAATACAAATCACAATATTGGGTTTTAAAATCGCGTCAATGAAATCACTATGCACGATTTTGAGAGCCTTTGAACACGAATAGAGACAATGGACTTTAAACTCGCATGAATATGAATCACGTGATTCCAGTAGTTTCAAGTATTAAAAACGATAAGAATCTGTTTAATCAAAAGAAGAAAAAAAGAAGAAAAAAAACATTAAAATTGCGGGGGGAAATCACATGTATGAAAACTTCTTGTTAACGTGAAATAGCGAAGGTTTCATAATTTAAATTTTAGATTGTAGAACTTAATCCTTACTTTAAATTTTAGATTGTGTTGAAAATTTTGTCAGAATAAAAGTTTTCATTCGCGAAAGTCCGTGAATCAATGGTCGTGAGATCCCCTGGATTACAATCACTCCTAAATTACATTTTTATGGCTTTAATGTCATTTTTTTTTATAAACACAATAGAGAAGAACAAATACAAAATATTTAATACATGTGTAGCATGCAAGCCAAATAGAAAATATGATTTGTTATACAGCTTAAGGTTGTCCTTTAAAGGCTGCTTTATTATCAGAGATAAAACTTTTTAGCAAATAATATGTTTTAATAACTACTTTGAACATGTAACAGTTAAGATTTAATCGTCTTCAGTCACACCGAGTCAGCATTGTTTAAACCCATAACTGAAAAAAATAGTTTTCAAATATTGAGAATTATTCCTTAAATTCTCATTTTAGTTGAGAAATTTCTTTACTTAGTGTTTATTTAGTTATTTAATAATAATTAGAGAAAGTCAGAAATTTAGCTTGATTACCTCAGATAGAGATAATATTTTTGATACTTCATTTGAATAGTATATATAAATATATATATATATATTATCAATACAATAGTGTGATATATTTTGCTTTGGCTATATTGATACAATACAATATAAGAAAGCACTCATTTTTGCGGTTATAATCGTGTGAGCTGATGAAGAGTTTTATTTTCTATATTGTAATTGAATTTTTTTCCATGTTTTCTCGACATTTTAAACATATTTTATGAGTTCTATATACTTGCAGCTCAGGAGCAGTAAATAAAATTTATTGATTTTCTTAGTTTTTCACTTTATTTATTTATTATAATATATATATATACATATATATACATGTACACACACATATATATATATATACAC